CGGGCGACGGGGGGCGACGCGCGGCTCCCCGTCGCCCGTCGCAGCTCCTCCCGGGGGCGACTCGCGGAGTGACGGGGCAGAAAGCCGCCGCGCGCCTCGGGGCGCACGGCGGGCAGAAAACCGCCGCGCGCCTCGGGGCGCACGGCGGGCAGAAAACCGCCGCGCGCCTCGGGGCGCACGGCTGGCAGAGAACCGCCGCACGCTCCGAGCGCGCGGCGGGATGAAAAATTAGGGTTTGGCCGCCGCGCACCACGGGGCGCGCGGCGGACAGTACGGCAGCGGAAGCAGGTGGTGGGCCCATACAGGAAGGCGGCAGGAACGTGCCTGCTCTGAATACCATGTCAGAATCAATAGGAGTGGGGCCTAGGCTTAGTAGCCTAGGCCCACACTAGGAGGTAGTAGGTTGTGCCCTAGGACTAGGGTTTGTGGTATACGAAGGAGAATTGTGAGAATGGGAATGATGATGAACTAGCAAGCAGCAGGATACATATAGGAAACCCTAAGGGGTTGTACTCACTATTGAGCACCCCACTGCAGGCTAGACAATAACATTATGACACATTTGTAAATATGAGTCGCGAGTTTTAAGTTCACATCGAAAGCTCGATACAATTTTTCGTAATTTAATGTGGTAACTGCGTTCAGTAACTGCGTTCTGTTTCTATCACATTTCAACAGTATTATTAGCGTAGAAAGTGTGATTAAAGAGCGAGAGCCAATCGGCGATGAGGAATACAGGTTGAGTATGAACGAAAAACGCTCCGGGCATAATTTGAGTATCGGAGATAATGGCCGTAAGTCTTCTGTCAGGGCATCGAAACCTGGGAAAGCCTGTGCAGGTAGAGATGAAGCTCCCTAGAAAGCGCAGGTTCGGAAGTACCCCTTCCGCAATAACTAAAAAACCCGCTGAAGTGTCAAAATTGGCGCAAACATGTTTGGCAAGACCTCCCTTATCACCAAACCTGGATAAGCTGTAAGGACCCTATCAACAAAGATTCTGTAGACCCGGTTTATTGTCAAAAACGCCTGCAGAACAACGCAAAGGCGATGTTCGGCAGCACACGGGATACAGCAAGGGGGAGGGGGAGGAATCCAAACTCAAACCCAGGGTTTCTAGTTTGGACGGGTCAACTTGGAGTCAACTGTCGTTGACTCCAAGTCTGGATTCCAGGCGCAAGCGGAACGTTAGGGGGGCAAGGCGCGGACACGCGATTCGGTATCCGGGGGCTCTCGAACCTGCAACCGCGCAAGATGAAACTTCACGCGCTGAACAGTTTTCCACCTGCCTGTCGCGTTTACTGTAGCGAAATGTTTTTGTAGAACAATTTACTTTGACCATTGTCACCCTAAATCAAATTGGGTTTAATGAAATCTTCCAGGCATTCAGCTTTCAAACTGCGCTCTCAGTATCTCACCCTCACCCACCGTCCAGTGCCCATTCGGAGGACCTTCATGGCCCTAGGCCACCTTGGTAGCCCCCAAGCCAAGCCATGCACGGCTGATGCCCCATGCCCATGCTCTCTTGAGGCACCACCACAACTACACCTTCTCTGCGCTCCTCTCCCTCCGTGACCCGCCGTCCAGTGCCCATTCGGAGGACCTTCATGGCCCTAGGCCACCTTGGTAGCCCCCAAGCCAAGCCATGCACGGCTGATGCCCCATGCCCATGCTCTCTTGAGGCACCACCACAACTACACCTTCTCTGCGCTCCTCTCCCTCCGTGACCCGCCGTCCAGTGCCCATTCGGAGGACCTTCACGGCCCTAGGCCAGCTTGGTAGCCCCCAGGCCATGCATGTGGCTGATTCTTCATAACATACCTTGTTTGTGTTCCCCTCCCTCTCTCACCTGCCGTCCAGTGGTCATTCTAAGGACGTTCGCTGCTCTAGGCAACCCCAGCAGCCCCCCTTTCAACGCGTGGACGGGGGATGATCCGTGCGGGGCAGATGTGGGGAGCGCGTGGGCTGGCATCAAGTGCGGCACTGGCAGCCCGTTCAACACCGTGGCTGAGATGTGAGTGCAGTGCGGGGGACTGGGGTGGTGCTGTGTTGTTGGAGGGGGGATGACCTGTGCACAGCAGAGGGGAAGAGTGGGTGGGGATGCTTATAACTTGACTCGGTCTGGCCATTGACAGAATATTCGTAAATGTGTTGAGATGGCCTGGTCTAAGGCGCTTGATCAAGGTTCCAGTCCGAAAGGGCGTGGGTTCAAATCCCATTCTCGACAGCGGTTCTGTGTCACCCTTTTTTTTGAGATCCCTACTTCTGATGGACACTCTTGGAGGGTTGTTCTTTCCAGCATTGCCTCTGATGATTGGTTGGAGCCATGCCAAGATTCCATCAGCATTTCAGTTAGCTTTTTGAAGTCCAGCCCCACTCAAACAATCTTCTGTACCTTCCATCCATTCCTTGCATTCTCCTCTGTGCTACCGCCCCTCTTTTCCACCTTCAGCTGAACCAAAGTCTAAATCCATTGACCTTTGGGTCGTTCCACGGCTGGCATTGCATCTTGGTACTAGGTGTTTGACTACTCGTGTGTCCAATCTACACCTAAGTTAAGGATGCATAATTGCAATGGCTGTTGGATAGAAATGGTGCATAAAGTAAGCAACTAAAATCCCCACAAGAGCCCCTGCCACTACCTGCAGAAAAAATAACATTGTGCAAGAGATGACAGCATAAGCCAATCGAAAACACGGCGACTTGTGCCTTTTGAGTCGACTCAAAAGTCACCTCGTTACAAAATTCACCTTTTGAGTCGACAAAAAAAAAAAAGCATTGTGCAAGAGATGACAGCGTAAGCCAATCGGAAACACGGCGACTTGTGCCTGGAGGGGTGGTGGTTGACCCATGTGGTGTGGCGGGGCAGAAGAAGCGAGCATGTGGGCTGCCTGAGGTGTGGTTGTAGAGAGGTCGCTTTTGAGAATTCTCAAAAGTGATTTCAACATCAAGTGCGATGCGGGCGGACTTGATTCTCCCTTGGTTTGCACCGCCGGCGCCGCCTGCCTGCAGACGTATTGTGTGAATCCTCCTCCACCCCCTGCCTTATGCAAGAGTAGGAAGAGATTCGACCACAGCAAGCCCACGAATCTCTCCCACCCCCTGCCTACTAGCAAGCACCCCCCATGCTGTTTCTCCTTTGCCTCATGCTGTTTCTCCTTTGCCCCATGCTGTTTCTCCTTTGCCTCATGCTGTTTCTCCTTTGCCTCATGCTGTTTCTCCTTTGCCTCATGCTGTTTCTCTCCACCCCACACACCCCCCTACCCCGTCGTTCCCCTTTGCATATTCACTCTCCTCCCTCAGTGACGTTTAGGACGCCAACCTAGCAGGAGACTTGCCCTGCCCTGCCCTGCCCCGCCCTCCACTTTTCATCATGTTCCCTTCCTTGCCCACTCTCCCCCACCCTCTCAGTGACATTCAGGACGCCAATCTAGCAGGAGACTTGCCGCCTTCCATTTTCGACCTCACGTCACTTCGCTTGCTGTGAGTTGCCTTGCCATGCCATGCCCTTCGCTCCTCCCTCTCTTTCACTGGACTGCATCCCTCCTCTCCTTCTCTCCTCTCCCGTCTTTACCATCGCAATAAGTCAAGGTGTCAGCATGTATGCTAGTGCGCCTGAGAAAATGTGCGAGCTGGCTCGACAGGAGCAATCTTGTCCTACACTACACCCATGCACAGGCGGATTAGGACAACCAATACGCGGCATGTGCATGGTTGCAAAGTGCCCCACGCCATTGGTGGGAGCAAGCTTGTCTTGCACCAATTCACAGGCCGGTTAGCACAACCAATACCCAGAGGCCAGTGCCCCACCCACGTCGTTCGTCCTCCTTCCGCGTTGTTTACACCCACCACTTTCCCCTGCCCACCTGCACTAGAAATTTGACGCTTAACCCTCCCTTCTTGGGCAGGTCGCTTTCGAAATTTCTCAAAAGCAACTCAGATTGGGCTCTTAACCCTCTCTTCGTGGGCTGGTTTTATCTCACTGCAGTCTCGCACTTTCCATCTCTCCTTCTTCCCCCTCTCAGTTGCACCCTCGCTGTCCCATCCACAGCAATCTGACGCACTATTTTTAAATCTCAAGGTGACGCTTCCGTCTCAGAGCAACCTGTTTCTGCCTCCCCTCCCCCCTCCCCGTCTGCGCCGCCCCCACAGAAGTCTGCCGTTCAACACTAAAATCACAGGTTTGTCGTTCACCAAAGTGGCACTCCATTCCCCCGCCGCCCATCCCTGTCCCCCCTTCCTCAGCAATCTGGCGCTCAACCCGAATCTGACGGGCAGCTTTCCAGATGCACTCGGGAACCTCCTGCAGCTCACCACGCTGTGAGCACTCTGCTGTGCTGTGAGCTAGCACAGCATAGATTCCCCAGTGCAGATTTCCTTTTCCCACTCGGGAGCCTCCTTCAGCTCATCACATCACACTGTGAAAACTCTCTTCATTGCTGTGAGCACTCTCTTCTCTTCTGCGCTGTAAACACTGTGCTGCTTGCAACCACACTGCATCTATGATACATGCATACACACTGTTTGTTTGTAAGCACACAGGCTATCTGAACCTACTCCCCCCCTCCTCTTCCCTCACCCCATATACGGCCCCTTCCTTTCCCACCCTCAAAAACAAGCAGGGACATGCACAGGTGCGGTCTGTCGGGCTCCATGATCCCATGATCCCATGATCCCATCCACCATAGGGCGCCTCACCAGCCTCAGCTACTTCCTGGTCAACCAGAACTGAGAATTCTCAAAAGTGATTTCTCCATCCCATCCACCATCAGGCGGCTCACAAGCCTACTTCCTCGTCAACCACAACCGCCTCTTCCTTCCTCCCCTTCTCACGCCCCCCTCAATGACAAGCAGGGACATGCACGGGTGCGGCCTATCAGACTCCATTCCATCCACCATCGGCCGCCTCACCAACCTCAGATACTTCCTGGTCAACCACAACCGCCTCTCGGGCTCCCTGCCAGTACAGATAGGCTCTCTCCCCCAGCTCTACATGCTTGATGTCATGGAGAATCGGCTGGAAGGGCCGCTGCCGATGTTTGAGGGTGCAAACCTGTGAGTGCCACCCATCCCCGCCTGTGAGTGCCACCCATCCCCGCCTGTGAGTGCCACCCATCCCCGCCTGTGAGTGCCACCCATCCCCGCCTGTGAGTGCCACCCATCCCCGCCTGTGAGTGCCACCCATCCCCGCCTGTGAGTGCCACCCATCCCCGCCTGTGAGTGCCACCCATCCCCGCCTGTGAGTGCCACCCATCCCCGCCTGTGAGTGCCACCCATCCCCGCCTGTGAGTGCCACCCATCCCCGCCTGTGAGTGCCACCCATCCCCGCCTGTGAGTGCCACCCATCCCCGCCTGTGAGTGCCACCCATCCCCGCCTGTGAGTGCCACCCATCCCCGCCTGTGAGTGCCACCCATCCCCGCCTGTGAGTGCCACCCATCCCCGCCTGTGAGTGCCACCCATCCCCGCCTGTGAGTGCCACCCATCCCCGCCTGTGAGTGCCACCCATCCCCGCCTGTGAGTGCCACCCATCCCCGCCTGTGAGTGCCACCCATCCCCGCCTGTGAGTGCCACCCATCCCCGCCTGTGAGTGCCACCCATCCCCGCCTGTGAGTGCCACCCATCCCCGCCTGTGAGTGCCACCCATCCCCGCCTGTGAGTGCCACCCATCCCCGCCTGTGAGTGCCACCCATCCCCGCCTGTGAGTGCCACCCATCCCCGCCTGTGAGTGCCACCCATCCCCGCCTGTGAGTGCCACCCATCCCCGCCTGTGAGTGCCACCCATCCCCGCCTGTGAGTGCCACCCATCCCCGCCTGTGAGTGCCACCCATCCCCGCCTGTGAGTGCCACCCATCCCCGCCTGTGAGTGCCACCCATCCCCGCCTGTGAGTGCCACCCATCCCCGCCTGTGAGTGCCACCCATCCCCGCCTGTGAGTGCCACCCATCCCCGCCTGTGAGTGCCACCCATCCCCGCCTGTGAGTGCCACCCATCCCCGCCTGTGAGTGCCACCCATCCCCGCCTGTGAGTGCCACCCATCCCCGCCTGTGAGTGCCACCCATCCCCGCCTGTGAGTGCCACCCATCCCCGCCTGTGAGTGCCACCCATCCCCGCCTGTGAGTGCCACCCATCCCCGCCTGTGAGTGCCACCCATCCCCGCCTGTGAGTGCCACCCATCCCCGCCTGTGAGTGCCACCCATCCCCGCCTGTGAGTGCCACCCATCCCCGCCTGTGAGTGCCACCCATCCCCGCCTGTGAGTGCCACCCATCCCCGCCTGTGAGTGCCACCCATCCCCGCCTGTGAGTGCCACCCATCCCCGCCTGTGAGTGCCACCCATCCCCGCCTGTGAGTGCCACCCATCCCCGCCTGTGAGTGCCACCCATCCCCGCCTGTGAGTGCCACCCATCCCCGCCTGTGAGTGCCACCCATCCCCGCCTGTGAGTGCCACCCATCCCCGCCTGTGAGTGCCACCCATCCCCGCCTGTGAGTGCCACCCATCCCCGCCTGTGAGTGCCACCCATCCCCGCCTGTGAGTGCCACCCATCCCCGCCTGTGAGTGCCACCCATCCCCGCCTGTGAGTGCCACCCATCCCCGCCTGTGAGTGCCACCCATCCCCGCCTGTGAGTGCCACCCATCCCCGCCTGTGAGTGCCACCCATCCCCGCCTGTGAGTGCCACCCATCCCCGCCTGTGAGTGCCACCCATCCCCGCCTGTGAGTGCCACCCATCCCCGCCTGTGAGTGCCACCCATCCCCGCCTGTGAGTGCCACCCATCCCCGCCTGTGAGTGCCACCCATCCCCGCCTGTGAGTGCCACCCATCCCCGCCTGTGAGTGCCACCCATCCCCGCCTGTGAGTGCCACCCATCCCCGCCTGTGAGTGCCACCCATCCCCGCCTGTGAGTGCCACCCATCCCCGCCTGTGAGTGCCACCCATCCCCGCCTGTGAGTGCCACCCATCCCCGCCTGTGAGTGCCACCCATCCCCGCCTGTGAGTGCCACCCATCCCCGCCTGTGAGTGCCACCCATCCCCGCCTGTGAGTGCCACCCATCCCCGCCTGTGAGTGCCACCCATCCCCGCCTGTGAGTGCCACCCATCCCCGCCTGTGAGTGCCACCCATCCCCGCCTGTGAGTGCCACCCATCCCCGCCTGTGAGTGCCACCCATCCCCGCCTGTGAGTGCCACCCATCCCCGCCTGTGAGTGCCACCCATCCCCGCCTGTGAGTGCCACCCATCCCCGCCTGTGAGTGCCACCCATCCCCGCCTGTGAGTGCCACCCATCCCCGCCTGTGAGTGCCACCCATCCCCGCCTGTGAGTGCCACCCATCCCCGCCTGTGAGTGCCACCCATCCCCGCCTGTGAGTGCCACCCATCCCCGCCTGTGAGTGCCACCCATCCCCGCCTGTGAGTGCCACCCATCCCCGCCTGTGAGTGCCACCCATCCCCGCCTGTGAGTGCCACCCATCCCCGCCTGTGAGTGCCACCCATCCCCGCCTGTGAGTGCCACCCATCCCCGCCTGTGAGTGCCACCCATCCCCGCCTGTGAGTGCCACCCATCCCCGCCTGTGAGTGCCACCCATCCCCGCCTGTGAGTGCCACCCATCCCCGCCTGTGAGTGCCACCCATCCCCGCCTGTGAGTGCCACCCATCCCCGCCTGTGAGTGCCACCCATCCCCGCCTGTGAGTGCCACCCATCCCCGCCTGTGAGTGCCACCCATCCCCGCCTGTGAGTGTCGATCACCTCATCTCACGTCCTTGCCCCCTTAGTCTACCCCGTCCGCCCTTTTTCCTGGATCCTACCCCTCCATTACACGAGTCACAAGTTGTTTTTCTGTCGCATTTCCTCTCACGTTCCCCTCCACTTAGTCCTCCCCTCTCCCTCCCCTCTCCCTCCTCCTCTCTCTCTCTCTCTCTCTCTCTCTCTCTCTCTCACTCTCTCTCTCTCTCTCTTTCTCTCTCTCTCTCTCTCTCCCCTCCTCTCCCCCTCTTCTACACCTCCCCTCCTCTACCCGACAGCCACATGAGCAACAACCTCTTCACGTCCGTTCCAGCAGAGATCAGCAGACTGCCGAAACTCGAGCACCTGTGAGTCCCGCTGACACACCCCTGCTCTCACATTCCCACCTGTGAGTAGGGCCGACACACGCCCACATTTTCTTCGTCGGGGCCTTCCCCTGCCCCGTATATACACCTCCTTCGTTTCCAGGTTCGTAGTTCAACTAGTTGAATGAACCATCTTGCACAAGGTTTGCAAGGACTCTCTCAGTACTTCGGTCAAAGTCCTGATAGTGTAAATGCGTTACCTAGTGTGTTCATTCATAGTGCGTCCTTCCTAACGGCGATGGTGAATTCATTCACCCAACCCTACCCAATGAGTACACGTTTTCTTCACGAGTATAAGGGATTCACTTTCTCACTGCTGACCTAACCAACAATCAACAAGGACTCGTTCGATCCACAACAAAAACTCGCCTTAGCTTTTCAAGTCAGGGCCGTATTACTTGCCCTTGTTGCTCATACCCATCATCAACCATAACAATCCGAAATTCTATTTCTTGTCCTCACCCATATTGGATCCTTGCCTGCTGTTGTCTTGCATTATGTGGCAGACTGATGGACAGCAGCCGTCTCACCCACTATAGATGTAGTGTAGTTATTCCATTTTATTCACCCATATTGGATTCTCGTCCGCTCTGCCCTCTTGTGTTGAGTGGCAGGCTGATGGACAGCAACCGTCTCACCCATGAGTTTCCCCTCGCTTTGAACAACACCAACCTCACTGTCATGTGTGTGTGTGCAGTGCGGACATTTCCCACTGTGTTTCACTTAGGTTAGGATTCTTATCGAAAGTAGAAAGGATTTTCACGTGATCATGAAGTGTTTCGAGATGTCTCAAAACACTTTAATTATCGCGATGCAAGCTCGAGTGGTGTGTGCTGTTGAGTAGGAGAGAGAAGAAATATGCAAGTGCCGCTCATCACCAGCTTCCTTCATTAGTGCCACGACCAGCTCTTATTATCATCCGTTCTTCCTCCCACCCTCTCTTGCCTCAATTCACCTAGCAGCTACTGTAGCCTAACCATCCACAATCTAATACCTTGGCCCTCTAGGCTCCACCTGCTCTCCCATTGCCCTCTCCCATTGCCCTCTCCCTTTCTGCCAACCGGCTACTGCAACTGTGTGATAACTTGAACCTCTTCCCGTCACCTCCCCCTCGCCCTTCCTTCGCTGCGCCCCCCCTTCCCTCCCTCCTTCCCGCCTCACCAACCAACCAACCAGCCAGCTGATGCAGTCACAACGTGTTTCTCGGCTTCAGGTTCATAGTGGAGTAGCAGCAAGCCTAGAAAAAAGGAACGAGACTGAAGTGTTGCTTCCTAGAAATTCAAGTAGTTTCACAGAGCCCTCAACCAGCCAGCTGATGCAGTCGCAACGTGTTTCTCGGCTTCAGGTTCATAGTGGAGTAGCAGCAAGCCTAGAAAAAAGGAACGAGACTGAAGTGTTGCTTCCTAGAAATTCAAGTAGTTTCACAGAGCCCTCAACCAGCCAGCTGATTGTGCTTCTCGGCCCTTTGCCGTCCACCCCTCCCCCCTCTCTCTCCCCCCCTCCCCTCTTCCCTCTTGGAGAAAAATCAGAATCCCAAGCCCCTTTACCGCCTCCTCTCCCACCCTTGTCCTTCTCCTTTACCTCCCGCCTGCCTGCCTCACAACCAGCTGGCAACGTCCCCCCCCCAATTCATCCCTTCCACCTCTCCACTTCTCCCTGCTCACTTGCCTTCCCCAATCGCGCTCATCAACGAGCTACTGGAGCCAGAATATGTTGCCTGGCCCTCTGCCCCACGTCCATACTTTTGAGTCGACTCAAAACTTCCCCCTTCTCGCTCATCAACGAGCTACTGGAGCCAGATTTTGTTGCCTGCCCCACGTCCATCCCCTCCCCTTCCCTGCTCCTTTGCCACCTCCCTTCCCGCCTCACCAATCAACCGGCTTCTGGAGCCACAATGTGATTCACAGCTCTCTCCCCTCCGTCACCCCTTCTCTCCCTGCTCCCTTCCCTTCCCACACCCTCCCTGCCTCTCCAACCAGCTACTGGAGCAACAACATGATTCCCAAGCCCCTCCCTTCCACTTGGTTCTTTCCTCGACTCAAAGACTTGTCAGTTCCAAATACAACATTTGAGTCGACCCAAACTTCTCTCCCTGACTCGGGAATCCTTTTGTTTTTTTTTTTTTGTCAACTCAAAATTCAGACCTGTCCCTGATATATCTCAGGGATCTAGAGACTGGGGCTCCAATTTGGTTGACTGAATCCTGGCTTAATTCGTCTCTCTCTCTTCTTGATTTGCTTGTCAAACACACACGTTATGCAGAGCAGAGTTGACGGTGCAGCAGTCAGTGCCTGCTTTCCATTGGTTTATTCGATGCTTTCTCTCTTCGTACATGTGATGCATGTCTCTGTGCGTGTGTGAGCATGTTTGTATGCGCATGCTTCCATCTGCATGCCTTTTTGCATGTGAATGCACGTGCCTATGTTCATGTGTCCGTGTGTATGCATGTGGCTATGTTAATGTGTCCATGTGCATGCTTGTGTCTGTGCTCATGTGTTGGTGTGAGTGTATGTGTCTATGTTCATGTATGTGTGTATGTATGTGTGTATGTATGTGTGTGCATAATACATGCTTGCATGGCATGGATATAATGCGTACATGCATCCATATGTGTGTCTGTGTGGAATTGTGTGTGCATGTATTGTACACGAGAGTGTGTACTATTGGATGCTTGTGTGTGGGGGGGCGCATGTGCATGTGTATGCATGTGTGTGCATGCATGTATGTATGTCTCATCCCGTCACAGCCTCGTCAGCAATTGCTCTTTACCCGAGCAGCCTCTCCCCTCCTTCCCGGTCTCCCTCAACCTCTCCAACCTGTAAGCTTTGTTTCCCTATTCATGTATCCATTCTCCATAACCCTTCCATTTTTCACGATCCTTCTATCTATCCATCAATCACAGTTTTCAAATTCCCAACTCATCTCGTCCACCTCATGCGAGTTGGTCACACTGGTCAATAGGGATGAGCCTATGTTGGAAAAGTCGCCAGAAACCATAAGCGCACACCGTTTAGTCGTTTACGAATATACGGTGTACGCAATTCGTACGTATATTCGTAGGGAAATATTCGGGCTGACCGGAAAAAAAAACAGATTTCAATAGTCGCGCACGAATTGCGAATGTGCGACGCGACTCAAAATGTACGCACGTCCCAACCCAATTTGTACGCACGTCCCAAACACATTGTCCCCCACACATGTCAAAATTTGGGAACGTGGGAAAATTTGAACCGCATTGCACCCACTGCTATCGCGCGACTCCAACACACAAACACGAATGTCGTCAACCAGCGTAGGTGGTTCAACCACATCCTGGACTATAAGGTAAGCTCATTCCCGATGTCTGTAGTATCTCTCTCGTTCATTCTCTCTCAACACTCCCGCTCAGCTGCACTCGATGTCGACTCCTACTGGTACTCCCGCGAGTGTCACTAGTGAGGCTCCTAGTGTTTCGAATGACGCGACCATGGCGGACGACGGGGATGTTCCTGAGAACACCCATGTTATTTTTAAGCATTTCCTTACCTCTACCGAAGGTAGCTCGACTGGTCCTGAGCGTACTGTCCGCATTATAGATGGGCAACTGGCGAGTCGAGTAAAACTTGACTCGCTTTGGCGAGCTTTTTGTTGAGCTCGAGTCGAGTCGAGTTTTAATTGTCGAGTTTTTTTGGCCAAAAATCAAACTCGAAACTCGCCTCTAAACTCGAGTTTTTTTAAAACTCATACGAGGTTTGAAAAACCTCGATCGAGTCAAGTAAAACTCGACTCGATGTTAACCAGCACCCACAGCCACCACTTTTGCCACACAACACCAGCCAGAGGGAGCACAGAAAAAGCTTTATCCACACCCACTCAACATAGCAATAAGCGTATATACGCTATAAGCGTATTTGGCAACTTAGCGTCAGAGGGAGAGAATAGCTAGGTAGTCTAATAAATAAAGATGTCTATTATGCTGATCTGAACATGCATAAATGGCGCCCTTTGATCACAAGTCCTCATCCAGGTCCACTCCCACTTTGTCATCCACCATGGCCACCTTGGCGGCCTTTCCCAATGGGGTGCCCGGGTATGAAGCGATCCATAACTTCAACGTCATGCATGCCTCCACGCGTTCAGCACCCAACCTGTGCCGCTGCCATGTGATGAGGTTCCTGCCTTGTGAGAAGAGCCTCTCACTGGCAGCAGAGGTGGCTGGAATGGCCAAGTAGTCCTTTGCCATAGCCTGCAGCCCCTCCAAATCACCCCTACGACGCCAGTATGCAAGGGGGTTGGTGGATAGGGGCTGCATGGGCTCCTCAAGGTAAATCTGGATTTCATCCTTGTTCTCTGCTGCCTGCTTCGCACGCAACGCCGCCAGGCGTGCAACGAGTCCTCCCGCATCATGATTCTGGCCCCCAAACAGGTTCAGGCCCCCCCGGGTCGTCCCGCTGCTGCTGCCACTCCCCCTAGCCGCTGTGCTGCTAGTCCCGCCCAAGCCCACCACCATCAGCTCCCCTCTTCCCTTCCCAGTAGCCGCCTCTCGCTCGCGCTGCACCTTCTCCTTGTATGGCTGCCACCTCGCACGCACAAGAGCCAACACCTCCTTCGAGGGCACGTGAGATACCGCCCTGCCCTCGTTGCTGCTCCCGTCTTCGAGCTCAAAGTACCCGAGCTTGAATGCCGGGTCCAAGAAGGTAGCAACACACAGCTCATCACTGCTGCTGTAGTAATACTCCTGCAGCTTGCCCAAGGAGGCGTCGATGCACTTCCGCATAATCACGGAGGGAGGGGAGGTGGTGCTGTCCCTAATCTTCTCGAGCGAATCCATCAGCTCGTTGTACTGCGGCACCACCCGGCTCGCAGTCGGGTACAGGGACCCCTCCGCTGCCAAAGTCACAGCGTTGAAGGGCATGAGGAACTTTGCAAGTTCCTCAAGCACGTCCCACTGCTCGGCAGAAAGGCGAAGCGCCATGAGGCGCAGCGGTGGCGCTTCAACTGGAGCATTGGCCTGTGAAAGCGAGTGGGGCGGGTACAAGGGGGAGGCAAGAATGGGGGGGCGTGTGCAAAGGGTTGGCAAGGATTGGGGGGCGGGTACAAAGGGGAGGCAAGGATTGGGGGGCGGGTACAAAGGGGAGGCAAGGATTGGGGGGCGGGTACTACTGTGTTGGCCAGTAATCAGAGTCCAGCTCACGTCCCACGGCTAAATTAGCAAGGCGGGTGGGCGAGGGTATGCTCACAACTGTGTGCCGAATGTAGGACTCAATTGGATCGCGCAGGTCCAGTCCGCGCAAGATCATCAGCAGGGTGGAACCCCAACGCACGTCGTTGTCTTGCCGCAGACGCTTGTACTGCTTCCCTGGTCGCCAATCCTCCTGCTCCGCCTCGAAGAGGGTCGTCCTTTGTGGCGAATAGCCGATGTAGGACGCCAGCTCGCGGAGCATGGTGAGTGGCAACTTGATTTCATCCACGTTTTTCAAAGCCAACTGAATGGCCAAGTTCAAAACGTGGGCAAGGCACCTGTTGGGTGATGAGGTGTGGTTCTGGTTTTGGTGGGGAATATCTCAGCTGTCCGGTGTTGTTTGTAAATTGTCTACACTAGCAGGTGAACGAGGGAGCAGGCATGAACACAAGCGGACGCAAGAAACATACCGGATGTGCATCCCGGTCTTGAACAAGCGGGGCATCTCGGTCGTGCCCTCGCGCGTAAGGATGTCCATTGCCGCCACGTTCGAGCTGGCGTTGTCCGTTGTCAACGCCATGGTCCTCTCTTCCAGCCCCCATTCCACCAACACTGCCTCAATCCGCTCAGCGATCTTCTTCGCCGTGTGTTTTGATGGCAAAGCAATGAACGCAAGAGTGAACTGCTTGAGCTCAAACTTGGCGTCCACACAATGCCCCGTCACCGCTAAATACCCTCTATGGTTCTCCCCCGTCCATATGTCGCATGTCAGCGACACCGCCCCAACCCCTTCGGCGTGTAACAACTCCTTGCCCTTTGCCCTTGCTAGCTTGGCCATCTCAACAATGGCTCTCGCTAGCGTGTATCGCGTTGGGATCACCCCCTGAACCCCACACTGCAGGTTGGCCGCGTTCATCATGCGGCGGAACTACAGCATTTAGACGATGGGAAAGGAGAGAATTGGGCTGGTTTAAGTGCGGACGGGAAGGGGAACATGGTTGTGTTGTGTGGATTCTGAATAATCAAAGGAAGAACGCGCATGGTGGCAAAGAGAAGTTGATAACATCTTTGCCCACACAACAACCACCACTCAAGGGATAAGGGTATGTTTTTGCACTTACGCTCGGATGATCAACGGTGTAGAATGACTGGTCGGTCGCCACGAAAAACTCCACTATGGCCTGCCACAGCACCTCTTTGTTCACACCCGGCGCAGTGTACTTCGTCATGCTCTGCTGCCCTGATCGCTCTGACCCGAAGTCGAAGGGGGGAGCAGGCCATGTTTCAGAACCAGGCCATGGATTTCTCCCATCGGGTACTTCATTGGGACCTCCGTACCCACCCTCAGGGAACACCTCACCCTCTAGAATCTCACCAGCATTCCATTTCCTACACCAAATGTCCCAGTGTGCCCTATGCTTGACAAGCATGTGGTTCTCCGCGGTCGATGTGTTACTGCCCGCGAACGAAATGTGCTTGCTGCACTTGCGACAACGGCGTTTTTCGTCGTCGGCACCTAAATTCTCGAAACATGGTGTCGCAGCTGAACGGGTCTTTCTAGGCTTTTTGGCGGCCTTTGGTTTAACCACAGCCGCAGGCCTGGTAGGAGCAGCATTGGGTGGTGGACGTGGCTGAGAACAACCCACGCCTCCGTCCCCACCAGCCCCCCTCTTGGCAACTCGCCCCCCTCCTCCACGCGCTCTCCCACCAGCTCTTCCAACCTTTCCCCCTCCGCGACCCCGCCTCAATCCGCCACCATGCTTCTTATAAGGTTCCTGGTCGGCCATAGCACGTTTCCCCTTCGCATCCGCCTTTGTTGGCCGATGTAGACCTCGTGGTGCGTTTGTGGCCCCCTCTTCCTCATTTTCCAATCCAGCAAAGTCTTCATCCCTATCCTCCTCAACCTCATCATCCTCCGCATTGTACATCTCTTCCTCAGAGTTGTCACCTTCTTCTTCATCATCCTCATCCTCCTCCTCCTCCTCCTCCTCCTCCTCCTCCTCCTCCTCCTCCTCCTCCTCCTCCTCCTCCTCCTCCTCCACCTCCTCTGCCTCACCCCCATGCTCCTCCCCTCCCCCCTTTTCATAAACATCATTCCCACCCTCACTCTCCCTCATCTCTTGGTCGGACAACTCCTCGATGAATGCATTGCTAAACCATTCTGTTACAACCCCCCCTGCTGCCTCCCCCCACGCCTTCCGCAATCCCTCCGCCTTCCCTGCCTCCACCTCCTCCCGAGGCATGGGTCCGCCGCCCCCACCCCCTCCCCCATCGTGGTTATCAGCCGCCTGCAGTGACTCATCACCCCCCATTCCAGCCGCGGCAGACCCCGTAACCGCGTGGGCAGCAACGTCCCCTACCGCCCCTTGCTCGACCCCTGCAGATTTACCTGCGGCGGAAGAACCCCCTGAAGCCATGCCTCTACCCCCACCACCCTTGCCGGATGCTTGCAATACCTTGGCAGCGTCTGCAGTTGTTACAATGGCTTGATAACGGCGTTGCTCGGATCTGGGGAGGGCGTGGAGCTCCATGTCATCTCCATTGACAGCCTCACCACCTCGTCCCGCCCCCCTACCACCTCCGCCACGTACTCTCCCTCCTCTCCCGGCACCCGCTCTACCACGCACCATGCTATTCCGCGCAGCCACTCCAAAACCAACCGTGCAAAGTAGCTGTTTTCACCTTAACTTACTCTAACACAAGGGGAGAAGACATATGGGTCCGACATTGAAGAGTGTTATAATGCTTGCGGGTGTCATTATCCTAAACCCTGAATGAAACCCTAGAAAAACACGATTTTGTTTAAGAAGAACACGTAGGCTGAGCGGACGTCTCTAGCTAAGGTAGACCTCCTAGAAAGTATCCAACGAGATGGTGGTTGCTTTTAGATCTTGAAAACCAGATCTGGAAAATGAACATTTTTCACATTTGTATCCAACCTAGATGACGCGCGAGTTTTTTTCATGCTCGAAAATGGGCAAAAAAACTCGCGATTCCAAAAAACTCACGAGTATTGAAAAAACTTGTTGGGAAAACGAGTTTCCCACGAGTTTTTTTTAAACTCGCGAGTAAAACTCGACTCGAGCGTCCGAGTTTTTTCAGCAAAAAGTCGAGCTCGAAACTCGAGCTTTTCGAGTCCCTCGAACGAGTCGAGTAAAAACTCGACTCGTTTGCCCATCTATAGTCCGCATATGCCGGCACTGCAAGCTTAAGTTCGTAGGCGGCGCCTTCCGTTGTGCGCAACACATCACGCGCTGGAAAGGGCTGAAACGGAAGGACGTCCGTCTTTGCAAGGCGCCTATCCCTGCTGCTGACCGCGGCGCCGTCCGCGAATTGTACGAAGGCAAACACGCCCGCAGGGAAGGGAAGAAGAAGGCGGAGGAGATGGCGATCGCGGCGTGTGCGGGTGGATCGAAGAAGCAGTGCATCGAAGACTTCTTCGGGGAAGGGCCATCGTGTGCGAAGGAGTCGGCAGACGACGCCATCTGCCTCATGTGGGCGGCACTTCACCTACCGGAGCATCTCGCCGATCACCCTCTCTGGCGCAATGCTGTGCGCTGCATCACGGACGCGGGTCATGGCTACGTTCCGCCGAAGCGGCGGTACGTTGGTGGCGCCGGCCTTGCGCGCTGCCGTCGAAAGATCGAGAAGGGCCTCGCTCCCATCACTGCGAGCTGGAAGCGGGATGGCGTGACGATAGGTTCGGACATGATGACGGACAAAAGTGGCCGTCTCCAAGCCAACATCCTGCTCATCAACGATTCCGGTGCTGTGTCCACCGAAAGCATTGACTGTAAGTTGGAAACGAAGACGGGAGGATACATTGCATCGGTTTTGCGCCCGATCATTGAGAAGGTGGGGCCCGCCAACGTAGTTGCCTTCTGCATGGATGGGGGCAGCAATTATGCGGCAGCATGTAGGGAACTCATGCTAGAGTTTCCTCACATTGAGCATGTGCCGTGTGCTACTCACGTCATGGATCTGCTCATGGAGGACATTGGGAAAATGGATTGGGCGAAGGACATTGTGGCAAAGGCGGGGTTGATTATTACCTTTGTGCGTGCCCACCATTTCACCAAAGGTTACATGAGAAGCCCGCAGGTGAAGGGAGGGAAGGGGAAGCAGGTGTTGAAGCCGGCGGGCACCAGATTTGGCACGCAATTCATCGCGGTGCAGCGGCTTTGCGAGGTGCGGAGTGCATTGACGCAGATGGTGCTGAGCCAGGAGTGGCGGGATTGGGCGAAGGGGAGGAAGCCGCCGGTCGAGCCCTTCGCAGACATGATCATGGATGCCGTGTGGTGGAAAGGGGCGGAGTTCTTCGTCGCCCTCCTGAAGATCCCCTTTGTCGTCATGCGCAAGATCGACTCGACGGCCAAGGGCATGATGGGCAAGATCTATGATCTGATGCTCCAGCTCACGAAAGACATCAATGCGAAGCTGGAGGAGGAGGCGGGATTGGTGCTGTCCAGCACTGAACGCACGGAGGTGACCAACATCGTCCAGAAGCGCTGGGACCACAGCATGGCGTGTGCCATGCACGTGGTTGGCCGGATCCTCAATCCGGTCAACCAGGAGGAAGGCATCTTCCGGACCGACCTGGAGTGTACGCGCGTCTTCAAAGCGTTCGTCGCTCGTCACTTCGGGGGGCAGACCGTCACGCGCAAGGAGGGAGATGAGCTGCGTGCATCGCACGTCATCCAGGACGGCCTGACGGCATTCAACACCCTTCAGGGGAGCTTTGGCCTACCCGATGCCATCACTGACCGTGAGCTCGTGAAGGCCGGTAAGAAGACGGCCGTCGATTGGTGGACGTGGCACAGGACGGACCACCCCGAGCTGACAACGCTCGCCTGCCGCGTTCTCTCTCAGCCAGTGCCCGCATCGGCGTGTGAGAGGAACTGGGCAGTGTGGGAATCGATCCACACTGCCAAGCGCAACAGGTTGGGGTCCGAGAAGTGTCGGGACCTCGTGTATGTTGCACACAATTGGAACATTGTGCGCAACTGGCACAAGGGGGCTGAGGGGGTGACGGTTCTCCCGGGGAACATCCCTGAGGCCCCCCTGCCGGAAGGGTACAAGGAGGTTCTAGAGGAGGATGAGGAGGAGGGGGAGGAGGATGAGCTGGAGGATGAGTACAAGTAGAGGAGGAAGGAAGGGATGGAGGGAGTAGAGGGTGGGAGTAGGGGGTGGGGTAGAGTAGTGTAGCATGGGCGGATGGTGGTTGGGGGGGAGGGGGGGGTGGGGTGGAAGAGATGTAGGCTTGTAGTGTTAGTAGTAGTTCTTCTGCAGGTGTAGGATAGTGTAGGAGATGCATGTTGCTTGCTTAGAGTAGTTGAGAATGTCAGGTTTTTTCAATATACAAAAATCAGAAAACCCAAAAAATCACGGTTTTTTTACCTCCCTCCCCCCCCCCCCCCCCCCCCCCCCCCCCGTCCTTACAAGGTTTTTTTCCTCTGCCCGGTAAAAAGTTTTTGCTGCCCGGGCAGCGTACTTTTTGCGACTTTCAGAGTCACGTATTCAGCGCATAACGTACTATACGCAAGCGTATATACGCTTGCGTATAATGTGCTGGGCGCGACTTTTCCAACATAGGGATGAGCAAAGAGCGAACACGAACGTGTTCGTGTTCGCCCCTACACGAACACATCCATTGCGAACACTTTGAGCAAAAACAGGTGTTCGCCGTTCGCCTGTGAAGGCGTGTTCGGGCGAACCTCGAACACGTTCGTGTTCGTCATGGGGCGAATTGCAGCAGCGGCCCGAACACGAACGTGTTCGGGCGAACATCGAACACTGTTCGGCGAACAATTTAAGCAAAAAAAACAAACCTGTTCGGTTCGCCTCGAACACGTTCGAGGCGAACCGAACAGGTGTTCGTCTTTCTGCTCATCCCTACTGGTCAATCTGGTCTTCTTTCTCGGCAATCGCAACCACTTTGCAGTAGCTACAGTAGATTGACAAGTTTTGCCAACCCCTAATTTTTCATAGTTCTGCAACGATGCAGTTGAAGCATTTGATCTTGCTCATAGCCTTCTCATTCTTGCTCCGATTGAGGCGGTTGTTGGTCTGCCAAATATATGTTTTTCAATATCTGCTCAAGGTAGAAACATAGATGCGAGGCAAAAAAAAATGTAATGACAGTTGATGACATCATATAACACCATGTCTTGTGAAATGCCAATCAAAAGCGCCCACATAATCTACTCCATATTTCCCTAATCCAGGGTCTCTACAGTGTCTCGGAAAATTGCCTCATTCATTGCCCTTAATCCTCCCTCTTTCCCACCCCCGGAACTTCAAATCCCCCTTCCGCTCCGCACCATCCATCCTCCTCTTTGTATCACCTCACTTTCTCTTTCTCTCTGTCTGCTATTAGACTGGTCCACCCTGCCATACTCTCTTACCTTTCTCTCCTCACTCTTAACCTCTAGCCAACTCGCCTCCTTTGTCCCCTTCACCCTCAGATTACCCCACCCACCCTTCTGCTGAGACCTGAGTGGCAACAGGTTCACAGCTGCCTTTTCCCAAGCTACTTGGGTCAGGTACTATCCCCGATCACTCTGTTCCCTTATCGTCCCCATCTCTGCCTCCCCACCCCTCCCCTTCCCCACAGCGACCTGAGCAGCAACAGGTTCACAGGCGCCATCCCAGGCACTCTGTTTCAGCAGAGCCCTAACCTCGTCAACCTGTCAGTTCACCTCCTCTGTTTTGAGTTGACTCACGGCGCGTTGCATCTGAAAATGCGACACCATGCGACATTCGCGACACGCTCGAATCTTGATATGGAAAGTCAAGGCAGCACTTTTGGATTCGACTTGAGAATCGAACGTGCTCTCACACTCACATTTGAGAGTGGTCACTTTTGGTCACGTTCGGCAGGTGGACGAAATTGCGAAGCGTGGCGATGAATACACTCAGAATTTCGAGAATAACGTCAGAGCCACGTAGGTTACACCAGGTAACCTACTTGGTCTATTCGCGGCTCGACAAGGGTCAAATTTTGTTTTTTTCGACCCTCCATGTAGCATAATGCTGCAAATATAGTAAGCTTGATTCTTAAAGAACTAAAAAACTTTGCTAAGCCTGGTTTAACAGGAAAAGAATTAGAATCTTTAGCTTATAAAAGAATGAAAGAAGATAAAGTAAATTCTTCAACTAGAGACTATAATGTTTTCCTGGAAATATATGTGTATCATCAAACAAAGAACTAACACATGGAGAATCGATCTGGAAAAGCAAACTTTAGTGTTGCGCCAAATTCAACATGCCCTCAGTACTCTGTTTCGGCACAACCCCGACCTTGTCAACCTGTCAGCTCATAATGTTGTGCCGTGCTGCCTTGCCCTCAAGCCATCCCATGCACCGTGCTCTTTCGTGATAACCTGAAATAAACAATTATATCACAACATGTCCTCCCTCATTCCTGCCTCCCTCATTTTTGCAACCCATGCCATGCACCCCATGCCATGCACCCCATGCCATGCACTTGGCTTAAAAGATGAAATCACCCCTCGCCCTGCTCCTTGCCATCACTTTCCTCCTTCTCTCCTTCCTCTCTCCATCTGCAGCAATCTGGCCAACAACGCTCTTGACTCGAGTTTACCTGCAGAAATCACCACTGCTACCAAGCTGCAATCCGTGTGAGTGGGAGATCTGCTAAGTGGTCTCTTGAGTCGACTCAAAAGGAAACTCTTTTCCCTCCAAAAATCACCACTGCCGCCAAGCTGCAATCTGTGTGAGTGGGAGATCTGCTAAGTGGTCTCTTGAGTCGACTCAAAAGGAAACTCTTTTCCCTCCAAAAATCACCACTGCCGCCAAGCTGCAATCCGTGTGATTGGGAGATCTGCTAAGTGGTCTCTTGAGTCGACTCAAAAGGAAACTCTTTTCCCTCCAAAAATCACCACTGCCGCCAAGCTGCAATCCGTGTGAGTGGGAGATCTGCTAAGTGGTCTCTTGAGTCGACTCAAAAGGAAACTCTTTTCCCTCCAAAAATCACCACTGCCGCCAAGCTGCAATCCGTGTGAGTGGGAGATCTGCTAAGTGGTCTCTTGAGTCGACTCAAAAGGAAACTCTTTTCCCTCCAAAAATCACCACTGCCGCCAAGCTGCAATCCGTGAGAGTGGGAGATCTGCTAAGTGGTCTCTTGAGTCGACTCAAAAGTAAACTCTTTTGCCTCCAGAAATCACCACTGCCGCCAAGCTGCAATCCGTGTGAGTGGGAGATCTGCTAAGTGGTCTCTTGAGTCGACTCAAAAGGAAACTCTTTTCCCTCCAAAAATCACCACTGCCGCCAAGCTGCAATCCGTGAGAGTGGGAGATCTGCTAAGTGGTCTCTTGAGTCGACTCAAAAGTAAACTCTTTTGCCTCCAGAAATCACCACTGCCGCCAAGCTGCAATCCGTGTGAGTGGGAGATCTGCTAAGTGGTCTCTTGAGTCGACTCAAAAGTAAACTCTTTTGCCTCCAGAAGTCACGACTGCCGCCAAGCTGCAATCCGTGTGAGTGAGAGTGCCACTGAGCTCAGCTGTATCCTGCTCTCCCTCTTTATGCGGGGCACTGTCATCCCCGTGCCCCCTCATTTCCTCACGTCCTCATTCCCTTTCTCGCTCAACCCCTTCTCTTCATCTCGTTCTCCCATCCCCCAGCTTCCTCTCGGGCAACCAGCTCAGCGGCCCCCTGCCGGACCTCTCAGCTCTGCCCAGCATCGTGTCGCTCTCCCTCTTTGACAACTCCCTCTCCTCCGTGCCGCCCGCCCTGCTCACTGAAACCAACATCACTCTCCAGTGAGTGGCCTCTTTAGTGTGCCGCCCTTTAGTGTGCCGCCCTTTAGTGTGCCGCCCTTTAGTGTGCCGCCCGCATTGCTCACCAATCTCAAGCTGCAGTGGGAAGCTTTTACGGTCGTCCTTCCTAGTCACCAAAGCCCTTTTGACATGAGCCCTTGGGTTGGATGCTTGCCCGTTTCCAGCTTCCATCATTCATTTCTCTCATTGTTCCGCCCTCTCTGTTCCACCCCCTCTGGCCCTCAGGCTTTTCAACAACAATCTATGCAAGCCATTCAGTCCAAACTACACGCAAGTCTGCTACCCTCCGACCCCTCTCACCCAGTACACATTCTTTTCCCCACCTCCCATCCCCCCCCTCCTTCCCCCCCCCAGGCTTTTTAACAACGACCTCTGCAAGCCATTCAATCCAAACTACATGCAAGTCTGCTCCCCCCCGACCCCTCTCACCCAGTACACCTCCCCTGCCTTCTGCGACGGCCTCGCCTGCCAGTCCGACCTCTACACCCCTAGCGCATCGCTCTATAACGAGTCGCTCTCCTGCGTGTGCGTATCCCCGTTAAGAGCCGACCTGGAGCTGTTTATATCGGATTTCGTGGTGTACCATGAGGCGCTGGTGCAGCAGCTGGAGCAGCGGATCTACTCGGAGCTCACCAGCAAGGCGCAGATCAACATCACGAGGACGCAGGTGAGCTGCGTAGGACAGTCAGGTTAGCTGCTGCGTTCAGTTGGAGCTGCTGCAGAGCAGCAGATCTACTCTGAGCTCACCAGCAAGTCGAACTTCAACATCAGCCAGCCGCAGCGCAGGTGAGTCGCTCTCAGTCACAACCGGCTGCAAATGAGCTGTCTAGAAGAGAATTCCACAGGAACACGAGTTCTTGGGCCGGAGGGCAGTTGACTTCTGGGTTTACTCGGAGCTGCAGCAGCTGGAGCAGCGGATCTTCTCTGAGCTCACCAGCAAGTTTCAGATCAACATCACCAGGCCGCAGGTGACTTGTCTTGCCTTTCAGAGGACTCTTATTTTTGGGTTGACTTACAATCAGAACAGGGCAGAGGATCTTCTCTGAGCTCACGAGCAAGTCTCAGGTCAACATCAGCAGGTCGCAAGTGAGTTGTCTGGAGAATCCAAGGGGAAAAACGCCAGTTTCTGGGCCAGAGGACAGTTAACTTCTGGATTTACTCTGAGCTGCAGCAGCTGGAGCAGCTGCTATTCTCTGAGCTCACGAGCAAGTCCCAGATCAATATCAGCCGGTCGCAGGTGAGTCACCTTTAATACCAGCAGCGCGATCCGACCCGGCTTTTGGCTAGGTCGGGTCAGAGGTTCGATGCCCTTGACCCGGGGATCTTGGGTCGACCCGTGACCCAAATCAACCCGTCAGATGCGTGTGCTTGCTAGTCTTAGTGCGTTTTACTAGTACATGTGCGCTACTTAGGCTTATGTTTTGGTGCGTTATTGAGCTAATGTTTGGCACAATGTGCAAGCTGGTTACATAATCTAAGCGTTTGGTTCTAGATATAAGTATGTCGGTCATAGTCATAATTTGTACTACGTATAGATGCATTAGTTACATATATGCTTTATATTAAGTATAAGTGCGTTAGTTAAGCTTGGTCGGGTTGGGTCGGGTGAGTCACCTTCGTTATCACCAGATCGCATATTAGCTGCCTTTCACCGGATTTCGCTTTTAAGAATTCTCAATAGTAAAATCCACATTGTCAGCTTCCTGGTTGACACCCATCGCTCCCCTTCCCACCTCCTCTCACATCCATCCCTCCACTTCCCCTCCCCTCCCACCCACGACTCTCTTCCCCCTTCCCCTTCCAATCCAACCCGTCGTCGCACACCGCACACGCATAACCCACTTCTCCAATTTAGCTGGTGGCCCCCAAAGGCCACACAGGCCACAGGCCACAGGGCACAGGGCACAGGGCACAGGGCACAGGGCACAGGGCACAGGGCACAGGGCACAGGGCACAGGGTGCAGGGCATCCCCAAAGTGCAGCACCGATGAATCTAGGAATTTGTTTTTTTTCTTTCTTTCTTTCTTTCATTCTCCCCCCCCCCATTCCCCTCCTCCCACCCCGTCCCCCCGACCAGGTTCTCATCTCTGCCATCAGCAGCCCCGCCTCTCTCTACTCGCTCGCCTCCACCTTCGCCTCAGACCACGCCGACCACCAGTCCACACTCATCATCACCGTCCTCTTCTTCCCTCCGGGCGGCGACGACAGCTGGTACCCGCGAGACACACCGCAGGCCATCCGCAACGCGCTCACCTCACGGGACCTTGCCGTGCGCGTTGCTCTCGGCAACTTTGGGCTCTTTCGGGTCGCGGGATTCTACGGCCCAGCTCGTGAGTATGGTTTTGAGTTTTTGTCTTGGCGCGTGATCATGTGATTGTCTAATTCCAAACCGGTGACTGTAACATCACTTTCTTCTCTCTTGCGTTTTGGCCTTCACCTGTGTATCCATTCACCCACCTCCTTTCAAATATAGCCTAACCCTTCATCACAGAAGATTTCATCTGGGCTGAGCACGGTGCCGTCGTTGCCATCTCAGTGTGCTCTCTTGTCTCTTCTGTCTTCTCCTTCACCTCCGTTTCCTTGAATTCTTTCCTCCTTCCAAACCAAATACAGCCTACAGCCCCCCATCAAAGCAGCAGGCCTCGTCTCGGCTGAGCACGGGTGCCATCATGGCCATCTCAGTGTGCTCCCTTGTCTCTTCTCCTTCACCTGCGTGTCCCCTCCCTCCTCCCCTTCCATATATAGCCTACAGCCCCCCATCAAAGCAGCAGCCCTCCTCTGGGCTGAGCACGGGTGCCATCGTGGCCATCTCTGTGTGCTGCGCTGCTGTTGCCATCGCCCTCATTGTGGCTCTGCTCATGCGCCCCTGGGAGAGGCGAGGTGAGTGATTTTTGGTTGGACTCAGATTCCGTTTCTGTTGTCATCAACCTCATGGGGAAGAGTGATGAGAGCGTGGAGAGAGGTGAAAGGGAAGAGAGAGGTGAGGGGAAGGGGATAAGAAAAGGAAAGGGAGAGGGAGGAAAGGGGTGGGCGGAAGAAAGGGGGTGAGAGGGTTTTTATTCAAAAGAACTGCTGTGCCAACACACTATAGTAGCACTTCTATCAGCCTACAGGTCTGCTCAGCCTTTGAAACTCTGGGGAAGTGCGTCACTATAGCCTCAAAGTCTCTGAGCCATTGCAGCAATATACGGCGCATGACAACAACATGAATACTTATCATGAATACTTCTCCGAAACCCTAACCCTAAACCATACTTATCGCATCCCGCAAGTGTGTGTTACACATTTTGGTGTGTAACACCCAAGTTCACGATTTTGGCCGAGCTAACGTTTTGAATCGCTGCATAGAGCTCACACATCTCATTGAGGCTTGTAACGTTGGAAATCAGACATGCCAGGCTGAATCTCTATGATTTTCAGCTTTCAAGGTTCGTGTCTAGGGTTAGGGTTTCGGAGCTGGTCGTGACGTCGTTTTGAACAGAGGTGGTTTCAGGTCGTCAGTTTCTGTTTAAACGGTCTTGCGGCCATCGCTGACCCTTAAGCAGACTTTCGACTATAATAGGCATGTGGGCTCATGCTTTTCCAATCTGATAGCATTAGACCTTTGAAGAACAAAGTTACCAAATTAATATGTGAGTTAGCGAGCAGTTTGGCATCGATCATGGCTAGAGTGATGCGAATCCTCACAGAATCACAATCCTCATGGCTAGTATACATTCGCTCTATGGGCAGCGGAGTGGACCAACTGGCGGTCGATCAACTCCCATCCATGTCCCTGCAACCCCCTCTCACCCATTCATCCTCTCACCGCAGAGTGGTGCAATGCAGAGCACGAGGCAGAGGATATCAACCTGCGGCACACTCGTTGACCTTCCCTCCCACCCCCCGTTCCTCCATCCATCCCATCAATTCATTGCCCTCACACTCAATCAATCGTCACACCTGATAGAATTGGAGCTGAACTGATTGATTAGAATAGAAGGCACTAGGCCTTAAGTACAAACAAGGTTGGGTTGAGCAAAGCTAGGGAAAGGATGGGATGGGAATCCAAGCAAATCTCCAATGGTGAGTTGGCAGATTTGTTGGATTACGGGGGAATCCCAACCGATAGGGTTGGGATTACAAATCTACACCCAACCCACAAATAACCCACAGTATATAAAATAGAATACACAAAGTGTTGACAGCCTAATTCTAACAACCCCTTCTCCCACCCAGGGTGGAACCGTGCGGACTACGAGGCATTGGAGGGCATCACCCTGCAGCATGCGCGGCGCTACTCGCTGCGACAGCTGGCAGAGGCAACCAACGGCTTTGATGACTCGCTCGTGCTTGGCACGGGCGGTTACGGCAAGGTAGGTGTGAGAGGGCACGGGGGAGCATGAGGTGAGTGGGCCTGGAAGGGCATGAGAGGTAGGAACGCTGCGACAGCTGGCAGAGGCAACCAACGGCTTTGATGACTCTCTTGTCCTGGGCACGGGTGGGTACCGCAAGGTAGGGTGTGAGAGAGGGTGCGGGAGAGCATGGGGTGAGAGAGCATGGAAGAGCACGAGAGGTAGGAAGAACGCTGCGACAGCTGGCAGAGGCAACCAACGGCTCTGATGACTCGCTTGTGCTGGCAGGGGCAGCTACGGCAAGGTGAAGCCCTGAGGCCAAACCATGAGGCATTTTCCCTGTTGCTTCTCTCTCTTCTCCATCCATCTCATTTTCGGTTCGTTATTATCTTCTCCCAATTATTTCGTACCCATTTTTTCCCTTTTTCTGTTGTGTCCAATTAGCTTCATGTTCTCTTCCCTATGCACGCTGCCATGTCGTGTGTATTTCACATCCTCACTATAGCCATGGCATCCTAAGAAGGTTACTTTTCCCTTATTTGCCTATATATGCCTCCCCCATCCTATACATACCAGGGCATATTTCATGACGAGCTGGTCTATTCATTATTGAGGCGCTTCCACTATGTGAGTTGAAACATGCTTCTGCCATCGATCCTATCCTACTCCACCCCAGGTATACCACGGCATTCTCAACGGCGAGTCGGTGGCGATAAAGAAAGCGACGGAGAAGCACCGGCATGCAGGGGTGGATTTCAAGAACGAGATTGAGATGCTGACAGCCGTGTCGCACGGCAACCTGGTGAAGCTCACCGGCTTCTGCGTGGAGAAGGACGAGCAGCTGCTGGTGTTTGAATTCATGGAGGGCGGGGCGCTGGATGCCTGGATCAAAGGTGGGTTGACGTTGGATGCAGTGCGGTTGTGTGTGGTTGGGAGTTTGGATTTAAGGTTTGACTCTGCGTGATATTGCCTTAACCCTTGTTGGAAGCATTTGTGTTGTGTGTGTTATATCGTACTTTCTTTCCATTCTGTTTACTACCACCTGAATGACGGTCATTGCAGGAAAGACGGGGCACACCCTATCGTGGAAGGAGAGGATGCGGATCGCTCTTGGTGCGGCGAGTGCGCTTCACTACCTGCACAAGGAGATGAGGCCCGGCATCATTCACCGCGATATCAAGGTACAATTTCATACATGCAGGGGCTGGGCTTTGCTGCAACATTTATAAGTTTGCAGTCATTTCTGTTGAAGTATATATTGTTAGAATTGAACCGATAACTTCATTAGGAATCATGAGGTTTTACATAGTTGGATCTAGGGAAGGGGGGTTGGTTGGGTACCTAGCCAACATTATTGGCCCCCCACCAATAAGTTGGGTTGGAGAATTATTGGGGGGTCCCAATAATGTTGGCCACCATTATTGGGGGGGCCAATAATCTCCCATAGACATGAGCACGAGACGAGTCGAGCCAGGCTCGTCTCTAGCCGGCTGTGGCTCGCCGTACCCTCGAGCCGAGTCGAGTCGAGCCAGTCCGAGCCGACTTGTGGCCCCAGCTGGCTCGTGGCTCGGGTATTATACCCGAGCCAGTCAAGGGCTTGGGTCGAGCCACATTGGCTTGTGGCGAGCCGAGCCAGGCTCGACTCGAGCAGTCGTTAATTCATTTATCAATCTAGAGAATCATGATCGATGCACGAAAAGATGCGCGATGCGAAGTTGTCGAACGATTGCATATCAACAGTCTAATGCTATCTAACCACTACCTACAATTAGAATAATCTAAAAATCCCTTGGTGAGGCACAAAAACACACGCGAGGTTGTCGAACAAGTAGATTTGACAGTGTTTCTCAATTCTTTTACACAGTAACCCTAATTTCGACCCGCAAAGTTTTGACGAATTTGTCGTTCTTGAGAAAAGAGGGGAGGGGCTGGGCTGGGGGGGTTGAAAAGGGGTGAGCGAACAAATAGAGCTCAGCGAAATTGGATACAGAATGCTGACGAAAATTCTCAAGAACGAATTACCTGAATACAAACGCATACGCGAAAGGAGTCGAGAGAAAAAGAGAACTTCATTGTTTTCGCCTCCAATTTCAAATGAATACTTAGCTTCGCCACGATTATTATTCGCATGGATGTTCCCCGACAACGTGTCCCTGAGATTTGTCTGTGCAGTTTAGTTTACTGTGCATCTCTCCCTCCCTGATCGGAAGAGAAAGTCATTCGTGATCTAGGGATGATCTGATCCGTATGCTGAATAGCGTAGTTCTTACCGCTAGCAACGCGATCCGAGACAAAGGGCCAAAAAAGAAGGCTCGACTCGGGGGAAACCCGAGCCGAGCCTGTCGAGCCGAGTCAAGGCTCGTCGATCTGCTCATGTCTAATCTCCCAACCCTTGGGGTCCAATAATTGGACCAAGGTTGGGTTCCAACCCCCAACTAGGGTTAACCCTAGTTGTGCACCCAAGCATAGTTTGGGTGCCTATCTCTATCCTAGGGTTTATAGGATCAATGCAGGATACAGAAGAGTAGTATAATCTAACACAACCCCTTAGCTTGCATAGATCCATAAACCTGGATGAGATGAGATAGCAACCCCTGAATCAGCCACCATGGGGAGCAAGGCCCAGGAGGGGCACGATTGCCGAGTGAGTAGCGCGGTCGAGAGCCTTAGTGAATATGTCGGCGGGGTCGGAGGATGAGTCAATCTTGCGCACGGTAATGTGGCCGTCGTGGACAAGGTCGCGGACGAAGTAGTGTCGGTGCTCGATATTCTTGAGCGACCATGGAAGACAACTTCTTTGGTGAGGTGGATGGTGCTGGCGTTGTCACACCAGAGGGTGGGACAGGGCTGTGGTGAGCCAAGGTCTGTGAGGAGATAAATAAGCCAGCGTGCTTCTTGTGCTGCCATTGTGACCGCGTACAGTTCGGCTTCGCAGGAGGAGAGGGCAATGGAGGAGGAGCGAGTGGAGCGCCAGCTGATGAGGCCGCTCCCAAGGGTGAAACCATATCCCTGTGAGCTGCGACGGTCAGGCTGTGAGTCTGCCCTGGACGAGTCGCTGAAGCCAGTGAGAACCGGCGGGTCTGCTCTACTAAGGGTGAGGGTGTAATCCTTTGTGTGCTGAAGGTAGCGTAGGACACGCCGGGCTGTTGTCATATGTTCCTCGGTGTGCCTGCCGACACCAACGAACCGCGCCAGAACACTAACTGGGTAGGCAAGGTCGGGGCGGGTGCAGACCATGGCATACATCAGGGCCCCAACAAGCTCTGCATAGGGGTTCAAGGGGTCGGTCGGGGTGGCAGGGGGTGAGAGCTGGTGCCCAACTGCAAGCGGGGTGGCGATGGGCTTGGCCTTTGACATTCCAAACCTCTCAAGGACGTTCTCAATGTAGAAGGACTGAGAGAGGGAGATAGTCTTGGCCTTGAGGTCGCGGGTGATCTCCATGCCAAGGTAGTTGCGGACTTCCCCCAGGTCTTTGCAAACGAGGCGACGCTGTAGTTCGTCCTTGACTTACTGCATCTCAGCATCTGTGTCGGCGGCTAGTAGCATGTTGTCGACGTCGACGAGAATGTAGAAGGGCGACGGAGCCGTCCGGAGGAAGAGGCTGGAGGCAGCTCGGGAGGGGCGAAACCGAGTTCGCGAAGGGTGGAAGAGAGCTTGGCATGCCACTCCCGGGGTGCCTGGTTGAGGCCGTAGACAGGCCGCAGCAGCTTCCAAACGGTGGACGGGTCATGTGGAGCGTGAAAGCCTTTGGGGCGTTCCATGAACATGAGTTCGTGTAGGCCGCCTTGGAGGAAGGCGGTAGTGGCATCCATGGAGTGCAGCAGCATGCCGCGTCTGCCGACGAAGTCGAGGAACACCCGAACGACCGGTGGGATAGCAGTGGGTGAGTATGTTTCGAAGAAGTCAAAGCCGTGCTTCTGCGTGAAGCGCTTCGTCACATAGTGGGCTTTGTAGACAGGGTCTTCGCCAGGGAGAAGCTTGACACGGAAGAGCCATTTGCCCTTGGTGACATTGGTCTTGGCAGGGCGAGGGGCGTCGATGAAGGAGCGGTTGTGGATGAAGGCATTACTCTCCTTGACCATGGCTTCGATCCAGAGCGGTGCGTCGAGGTAGGCAATAGCCTCCTCGTACGTGGTGGGTTCGAAGATGGTGGGAGTGCCTGAGAAAAGAAGAACTGGAGTGCCTGCCATGGTGCGGACGATGAGGGCGATGGAGGGCGCGAGGAGGTTGAGGAAGAGGAGTTCGTCGTGGGTGTCTTCATAGAGGAGAGGAGAGAGAGGAGGAGGTAGAGGGGGTGGTGAAGATGCAAGATAGCTGCATTGGAGGTCGAGTCTGGGACATGGTAGTGCTGCTGCTCGGCTGTGCGGTGGTGCAATCAGGAGCATGGAGCGGTTGCGCAGTGGATCTGGAGTGAGGGGGCTGAAGTGGGGGGGGAGAGGAGTACCAGTGAGGGTGAGGAGGGAAGGGGGACAGTCTGTGGGGGACCAAGGATGGGGTCCAAGGAGCGGGTATGGGGATTGTGGGGGAGGACAAGGGTAGGGGAGGGGCGCCGAGGAAGGGGGGGGGTTGGAGGGGGGGGGCGGATTAGAGGAGGGGAGGGGGGATGGAGGGGAAGGGGGCGGGAGAGGTGGAGGAGGGGAGGAGAAGGAGGGAGGAGAGGTGCAGCGAAAGGTGAGGTAGTGGAGTGGGAGGGGGAGGGGGGGGGTGGGTTAAGGATGTCGCCGGAGGAGCTGGAGGAGGGGGGAGCCGGGGGGGGGGGGGGGGTGGAGGAGGGGGGGGAGGGGTCATGGCAGGGGACGGGAGGAGGGGCAGGGTGTCAGTCCAGAGAAGGGGCCGGGGAAAGGGGGGAAGGGGGTTAGGGGCGGAGGGGGAGGTGTAGTACGGGGTGGCCTCGTCAAAGACCACGTCCCGACTACGGATGAGGCGGCCTGAGGAGGGGTGGAGGAAAAGGTAGTCAGGTGAGTTGGTGTTGTGTCCAAGGTAGACACAGGGGAGAGTGCGGGACGCAAGCTTTCCACGTGCGCGTGGGCGGTCGGTAGGGTGTATGAGGACATACGCCTTGCAACCCCACACGCGTAGAGGAGATATGTCAGGCTTGCTGGAGGTCCACAGTTCGGTGGGGGTGGGGGTGAGACGGGAGAGGTGGGGGTAGAGGTTAGTGAGGATGGCAGCGTGAAGGATGGCATAGCCCCAAAGAGAAGGTGGGCAGGAGGCGTGAACGAGGAGGCACCGAGCAGTTTTAGTGATCTCCCGAACGCGGCTCTCCGCCACACCATTCTGCTGAGGGGAGTGAGGGAGAGTGTAGGTGTGGAGGATGCCGTGAGAGGTGCAGTAGGAGGACAGGGGGGGTTGAGGAACTCACCGCCTCCATCAGAATGGATGCGGCTAACAGGGTGACCGAAGTGGTTGCGTGCTTGTTCAGCCCAGGCCGTGATGGCAGCTGGGGCCTCCACTTTCGTACAAAGGAGGGTGACGGAGGAGTATCGACTGTGATCATCCACCAGGATGAGGAGGTAGCGATGTCCTTGCCTGGTGGGGGAAGGGTTACAGCCCCAAAGGTCCATGTGGACGAGGTCAAGGGATTGGAGGGAAAAAGAAGGGTTACTCGTATGTGGTTGTTGCTTCAGCTTGCTTTCAATACAAACTGAGAAAGGAGGGGAGGGGGAAGGAGGGAGGGGGGGAAGGGTGAGGGGGAGGTCGCCAAGGAGTTTAGTGAGGATGGATCGGCGAAGGGTGGCAAAGTTGGGATGGCCTAGGCGATGGTGGAGGAGAATGGTGGGGTGTGTGAGATCACGACAGTGGCAGGGGGAGGGTGGGTTAGATGGGGGGGGAGGAAGGGGAGGGGGATGGGCGGGGGGAGTTGGGGGGGGGGAAGTGGCGGGGGGAGGGGGAGGGGGAAGGGGAGGGGGAGGGGGAGGGGGGGGTTCGAGAGGAGGGGAAGGGGTGGGGGGATGGGGTGTGGAGAGTTGGTGGAGGGTGGGATGGGGGATGCGGAAGGTGTACATGTGGGTGGAGGGGCACCGATGGACACGGCAGAGGAAGCGACCGGAGGAGGTGTGACACTTGCCGTTGAGAGGGCACCAAGGGATACCAGGTTGTTACGAAAGGAGGGGATATAGAGACCTGTGACGGTGCCTGAGGGAAAGAGGGGACAGGGGAGTGTGGAGGTCTAACGGCTTTGTATTGTAAAGCTTGAGTCAGCCTCAAGTATTGTGGAGGGAGTAGAGAGGGGGAGGAGCGTGCCTGCATCACGAAGGACCGTGTGTGTGGCTCCGCTGTCAAGTATGAATTCAAGAGGCTGAGTGGAGGAGGAGGACACGGAGTACTGGAATGAAGACTCATTAATAGCATTGGCATACATAGGATCATCATAAGTGCTAGTAGTGGAGACATGACCTATGAAGCCCGTAGAAGGAAACGGTGTGAAGACGGGAGGGTGAGAGGAGGAGGGGGTCTGTTCAGCAGTTGTAGCAGTTGCAGCAGTTCCATGGCCATACATAGATGGGGGGTAGGGAGGGTAGGGCCAGCCAGCGTAAGGAGGAGGATAGGGGGAGAGAGGAGGATAGGGGGAGGGAGGGGTTTGAGGTGCGAGGGTGGGTGGAGGCGAAGGGGTGACGGTGGGGTGCGTGGAGGTGGTGGTGGGTGTGGGAAGGAGGTGTTGGACTTGCTGGAGGATGTGAGGGGAGAGGTGCTGGGCGAGGACATTATGGAGGTTGGGGGGAGATGGTGCATAGGCGGGGAAGGTGCGAATGTCATGAGGGGTGGGGCGAGGGGTGATAGTGCTCCAGCGTGGAGGAGGGCCTGTGTTGCCGCGTGCAAGCCATTCATCAGTGAAGGCTTTGAAGCACGTATCAGTGGGATGTGTGGTCTGGTTGCAGGTCTGACCTTTGTTGGGGCCTTGGCGAATGACATACTGGCACGAAGGGAGCCCAACCGTGGTTGAAGTTGTTGCCCCACGTCCGCCACGTTCCCCAGTGCGCCCTCCTCGTCCACCACTGCGACCGCCTCCTCTTCCACCACCGCCCGAGCCACGTCCAGGTCCGCCGTCGTTGCTTCCGCCGGTGTTTGTGGTTCCTTTGCGCCCATGAACGGCATTGTTGGAGGCAGATTCACGCAGGAGGCCAGCCTCACTGTCAAGGAGTCAGTCGATGGTAACAGTCACAGGAGGAGGACGGATGTGCTGGGAGGTGAAATTGATGCGGTAAGTGTCATAGGTGGGTGGGAGGCATTCAAGGACGCGTGCTGTGAGGAGGGTGTCGGAGATCAAGATGTCGCGATCATTGAGACGTTGTGCAGTGTCCGTGAGGCGCCGAGCGAAGGAAGCAGCGTTGAGGGAGGAGTCTAGTGTGATATCTTGGAAGGTGCGAAAGAGGGAGAGGAGAGAGCGTAAGTCCTGGCGGTCATATTGGGAGGAGAGAGACTTCCAGAGGGAGGAGGAGGATGGAGGGCGAAGGTCACGCTGGAGAGAGGAGGGAACGAATGAGAAGATGATAGTAAGTGCACGACGGTCAGCAATGCGCCATGCAGCTGTGTCTGAGTGGTGCTTATGGAGTTTAGCAGAGTACTCTTCGGATTTAGCTTTAAATTCTGCAAGTTTTGCAGTGGCAGCTTCGTGATCGGCGACGGCAGCCACGTGTGCTCTGCTTTTGATGACATAGTCGTCCCGCTCGTTGTTGTATTTGTTGAGGGTGCGAGCCCACCTGTCCGGATCATCCTCCCAAGCCCCTAGGATAGGGGCGGGCGGGTTCGGTCGGGAGTGGTGGGGCATCGGGGGGGGAGGAGCCTGGGAGTGGGGGCGGAGTGGGGGGGAGGCCATTAGGTGTTTCGAGGACGACGTCGAGTAGGCAGTAATATCCCACTCGAACGGAGCCCAGGTACGTGAAGAGACTCTCCTCAAAAGACACCCAATTGACTGCGGTGGTGCCGTTGAGGAGCTCGAGCTTGTCAATGGAGGCAAGCTCGAGCGAGGTTGATTCATCGGCCATGAGAGGAGGAGGAGGAGGAGGAGGAGGGAGGGAGGGGAGGTGGACGACACCGGCTTGAGGGACGGAGCGGTCCGGCTGCTCCGCGGAAGATAGCAGCGAACACTAATTACTCCGTGGCGTCCGCGGCTGACAGGCGCCTCTGCGGCGTCCACGGCTGGCGGGCGCCCCCGCGGCATCCGCGGCTGGCGGCCGCTTCCGCGGCGTCCGCGGCTGACGGGCGCGCTCGTCACGTCCGCGGCTGTCAGGCGCCTCCGCGGCGTCCACGGCTGACGGGCGCGCTCGTCGCGTCCGCGGCTGTCAGGCGCCTCCGCGGCGTCCGCGGCTAACGGGCGCGCTCGTCGCGTCCGCGGATGTCGGGCGCCTCGTCGCGTTCGCGGCTGACGGGCGCGTTCGTCACGTCCGCGGCTGTCCGCGGCTGGCAGATGCACCCGCGGCAGAGATGGCGCGTGAGGACGGCAGAGCCGTTGGGAGGTGCGCGAAGTGGTGCAAATGGCATGGCAGAGCCGGCGGGAGGTGCGCGAAGTAGCGCGAGTGGCACGGCAGAGCCGGCGGGAGGTGAGAACGCCGAGGAGCGTGAAGGCACGGTGATATCGTGCTAGGCGCAACTAGGCGCGGGAGACAGGTGTGGTCCTAGGATCTTGAGCGGCGTTGGCCGTAAGAGCTCTGATAGCATGTTAGAATTGAACCGATAACTTCATTAAGAATCATGAGGGTTTACATAGTTGGATCTAGGGAAGGGGGGTTGGTTGGGTACCTAGCCAACATTATTGGCCCCCCACCAATAAGTTGGGTTGGAGAATTATTGGGGGTTCCCAATAATGTTGGCCGCAAAAGTGGGTCAACATTATTGGGGGGGCCAATAATCTCCCAACCCAACCTTGGGGACCAATAATTGGACCAATGATGGGTTCCAACCCCCAACTAGGGTTAACCCTAGTTTGTGCACCCAAACATAGTTTGGGTGCCTATCTCTATCCTAGGGTTTATAGGATCAATGCAGGATACAGAAGAGTAGTAAAATCTAACATATATATGCTATCATTCATTTGCACACCGTGATATCAAGGATTGCAGTCATTTCCGTAAGGCACGCATCTGCCCCCAATCACTTCTCAATCTATCCCCACCGTTCTCAATCTGATCACTTCTTTTTATTTTGCCTTTCCCCTCGATCTCTCTCTCCTCTCTTTCACAGCCTACCAACATTCTTCTGTTTCCTTTGCCGTCGCCCCCTTTCTCTCTCCCCTCCCTCCCAGCCGGCCAACATCCTTTTGACAGCGTTTTTGGAAGCCAAACACGCTTTTTTCTCAACCTATCGCCATGCTTCTTTTTTTTTCCCTTTCATCCTACCCCCACCATTTCCATCTTATCCCTTATTTCTTTCACCTCTTCTCTCCCCCCCTCTCTCCTCTCCCTCCCAGCCCGCCAACATCCTTCTGACAGCGTCTCTTGAAGCCAAGGTGGCGGACTTTGGCATTTCCAAGTCGCTGCCTGAAAGGGGCGAGCTGGTGCAGGAGGAGATCATCGGCAGCAAGGTGAGATGATTGGCAGCAAGGTGAGATGATTGGCAGCAAGGTGAGATGATTGGCAGCAAGGTGAGATGATTGGCAGCAAGGTGAGGAGGCATTGGCAGCAAGGTGAGAAAATAAAACAAACGAACAAAAAATGTCATATTGGCAGCAAGGTGAGAACATGCGTGTAGTTTGTTCTAGCTGGCCTTTTGCCCGAGCAAAAAACACATGTTGCAAAAAACACATCGAGCAAAAAACACATGTTGTTTCCTCGTCGAGCGTAACTGACATGAGGCCACATTCCACAGTGGCGAGTAGTAAAACGAGACGAGTTTATGTTCGCCATGTTGCTCATGTTGCACTCTGGATCCTCAAGTCCCATGAGTTTCTCCCTCGTGAGATGAGGCGATTTTTTTATCAATCTGTTTGTTGGCATCCACCCATTCCCCTCTCTCCCTTCACCCCCCTCCTTCCCCCCACACTTTCAGGGCTACATCAACCGGCACTTTGCGGTGTCGGAGGTGCTGACATCCCCTTAATACCCCTCCCCAACTCCCCCACCTGCAGGGCTACATCGACCCGCACTTTGCGGTGTCGGAGGTGCTGACATCCCCTTAATACCCCTCCCCAACTCCCCCACCTGCAGGGCTACATCGACCCGCACTTTGCGGTGTCAGAGGTGCTGACGGAGCGCAGTGACGTGTTCAGCTTCGGGGTGGTGCTGCTGCAGCTGGCCACGGGGCAGCCGCCCGTCATTCAGGGAGTGCCGCTCAGCCAGGTCGTGCTGCACCTCGCCTTCGGCCCCCACGGCCTCTCCGCTGCTGTCGACCCCAAACTCTCTGACCTTCTCCATGCCACTGCTGCTGCTGCCGGGGGACTTATTCCTACTGCTGCTGCATCAAAGGGTGCTTCCCATGTTTCACAGTGCTGCTGGCAATGGGGCTGGAGGGGAGGTGAGTGCGGGGGAGATGGTGGAGGGGTTGGTGGAGACGTTCGGCACGTTCCTGCGGGTGGCGCTGTGGTGCACGGCAGAGCACCCCTCGCTTCGTCCCGACATGGAGCAGGTCGTATCTGCGCTGCGCAGCATCAGGGACCACCTCCGGGCGCTACCTGGGGGGGGCACTCCTGTGGGCCCCGCAGGGGCTGTCCCAAGCAGCGCCAGCAGTTACGGTGCTGCTGCTGATGTGTCGCTTGCCAGTCGTGCCAGCAGTGCAGGAGGCGGTTATTCTTCTGCCGCCCGGTCTCCTGAGACCGGATTCACAGGAGGGGCTGCCAGCCTGTCAACTCTTTGGAGTCACATGCCGGCTTCCAGTGGTCAACCCGAGTCAAACTGGTCACACTTAAAGGTGCCTCAGAAGAAACCAACTGCTTCCAGTGGTCAACCGGGGTCAAACTGGTCAAACTTTGAGGTGGAGCAGGGAGGGGTGGATGGGTATGATGACACTGGCACGCACCATCAGACGCTCACAGGCCCTCATGCCCGGTAGTGCTGCAATGTTGGCTTTTCTTGACTGTTGTTGACCTCTGTTGGTTAAATAAAACTTGATACGGTATTACTAGAGTAAAAGGTACATTTCCTAATGTCCCCATGTACCCTTGCGGTATTCAGGGCAGGGCTGACGTTTCAAATTTGGGTACTCTGATGGCTCAAAAAAAAAAAAAAAATTAACACTGAGGGGGGTTCGACCAGATTTTGACCACTCTGATGGCTCAGTCTCCAGGGGACTCCTTCACTGATGTCACAGGGTTGGCTAACTATGATCAGAGTCTTGTTGCTACATTTTGTTTATTACACCTGCATTGTCAACAATGCCCGGCGGGTTCTGCAAGACACAGCACAGCACTGAGAATCCTACTTTGTCGGCATGTCTATGTGATACATCTCCTCTCCCTCCTCGCCATCCGATAGGAAGGGGTTATCTTCTTCCTCTGAGTAATCTCGGGGCGGCGACTGCTCAATTTCCTGATCCATCTCCATGTTGTCGTCACGGTCGTCGTCTGACTCAGCGAACTCCTCCTCGCCTGCCGGCTCGATACCGTAGGTTCCTCCTCCTCCGGCTCCTTCTCTTTGCGCTTCCGATCGTCAGAAGAGAACAAGACGCTCTGCGCGGGACGCCTCTTCTTGAGGCTCTTCCAGGTGTCGAGCACCCCAGGCCAGTCCATATCGTACTGCAGCAGTGAGATCTGCATCAGCTCCCCGAGTCGCGCGTTGCAGAGTGACCCGCGGATCCACGACTTGATCACGTTCTGGCGCGAGAACCACCGCTCGCACTCCACCGTGGATAGTGGCAGGACTGCGAGAGCCTGCCAAAGCAGCAGCAGGTTGGGCCATCGCCTGCAAAGACGAGGAGCAGCAGTTTTGCAGGTGCGTTAGTTTGCAAAATAAACTTGTGGCAAAGGCATACTCGGTCGACCTAACTGTTGGCATCGCCGCTCCCCATGAAGTTCGCCAGTCCCTGCGCAAATGACTCGTCCTCGTGGTGCGCCTCCATGATTGGGCACCAGGTCGCCAGCTCCTGCGAGGCTTTCTTGAGATCAAACCCAGGGAGCTTGTTCTTGAACAGGGCGCTGCAGCCTGTCAGCCAGTCCTGGCACTTGCGGTCTCGTTGCGTGCTTGCTTTTCGGCCACTTTGACGCGCGAAACAGCTTAGTTGGACCCATCCCTCGCAGGTCGTCCAGGCGAAACAGGAGACGGTCGACGACGTCCTTTGCGAACTTGCGGCACAGCTTCACACACGCCTTGTAGCCGCTCTTGTACTTGTGATCCTTCAGCTTCCTCTCGTGCAGGATGTACGAGTGGTTGACCGGGCAGCCCTCCGAATCCGCGCCCCGCACTTTGACCGTCTGGCCCGACTTCTTCCCATACAGCTGCAGGAATTTCGGGAGCCAAGCGTTGCCAGACCCACCGAAGTCCGCCGTCTTGTCAAGGTACCTGTGCTCGAGGTCGCCCGTGATGGACTCGACGGTCTTTGCCACCTCGGTAACATCGACCTGCAACAGCAACAGCAGAATTATAGTATAGGATTATGCGAAAAATCATGGCCATACATACAACGCTGCCTCACCTGCCGCTTCTGAAACGACCGGTTCAGATCGTTAAGGTCGCCGAGGATGTCTGCGAGGAAAAAGAGGCAGAACTGGAACTTGTACGATGTCACTGTCTCGTACAAGTCGTGCTCCTTCTCGTGGAAGAGAATTATCGCAGCGGCCAGCACCTTGCACAGTCGCTTCACCGCGTCGCCCCGGGACAGCCAGCGCACGCTGTGGATTCCCTGGACCTCGAGGTTCCTGTTATAAATGACGCGCTGCAGGTACTTGAACCGCTGGCTCTAGTGGCTGGAGGCGCCCAGGCGTTCAGCAAGCGTGCGCACCACAGTGTCCACCATCGCCAGGTCCGGATTTGACGCTGCCGCGTCCTTCACCGCCAATGCCTCCCTGCAGTTCAGATACACAGAGTTAGATGGCTGCATGTGCTTTGTGTTCCCCCTATAGAAACAGTACATGGTGGAGCCATAATGGGTTGTATCACCTGTGGGCGATGCAGTGCGTGGACACCAGATGCGGCACATGTTCCCGCAGCCTTGTCATGAGCCCATTGTCGCATCCAATCATTACCGACGCGTCGTCGGTGCTGATGCCCACCACTCGGTTGAGGTCGATGTTGGCAGTGTGCAAGTGGTTCAGGAGCACCGACAGGAGAGAAGCTGCATCACAGCGCTCGACAGTGAGAAGGGTCAGATATTCAGTCACGACACGACGGTGGCGCAGGAACGTGATGTAGACTATCATGTGCTTCCCGCGAGTCCGGTCCGTGCTCTCGTCTGTGCTCAAACCAAGAAAGGGCGAAGAGGCAATGTGCTGCATCTGCTGCTGAGTCAACCAGGTGCTGAGGCAGTGCACCATCTGCTGGAAACCGTATCTGCAGAGGGTATAACGAACAAGGACATTAGTCGTAGGTGGGAGGCATGACATAAAACCCAAAACAGAAAAACATACATGCCCTACCGCATGCCGTAAGCTTGCTTCGGGATGTCGGGGGTGTCCTGCTCTGCGAGATGCCTCATCAGCTTCGGGAACATGCTGATGGGCGCGTCCTCCTGGCAAAGAAACTGCACCGACCGCATCAGCCGGATCGCACGCCGACCCTCCACGTCCGCGTTGATGAACCGATCGATTTTCGTCTGGCCGTTCGAAATCGCCTCCGCAATCTCCGCCTGACGCTGCATCGCCTCCTTGTGGACCGTTGTGTGCTCGTGGATGCGCATCGTCTGCGTCTGCAGGTCTCGACCGCCGTCCCCAGGACCTGAGTACTTGGTTGTCTCCTTGCCGAATGAGACACACACGCTGCACTTAACACTAGGACCACCATCTTTAGCGCGAAGCAAGAGCAGCCACGGGAATTTGGGCAACCACTGCGTGTTGTACTTGACACTTGCCTCAATGCACTTCTGCTCCATCAACTCAGCCTTGGAAAGAACGGGGGAGTTGGTGTCCGCACGTACAGGTATGTCCTCTAGTTCCTCAGGTTCGGCCTCCTCCTCCTCGGGTGCACTCGGGGGTGTCAACGGGCTCTGCTATAGCTTGCCTCGGAGTAAAACTGTGCGCGCCTTCTTAGTCGTACGACCCTCGGACGCGGGAGCGACATCGTTGCAGCCGCTGCTACCAACTGCAGAGGGAGGCGCTTTACTGGACGACGCGATGGCGGGTGAGAGAATGAACGGCGCTGGAGCACACGGGGGATTGGGCGGCGGTTGCGGCCCCTTTCTGGACGACGCGATGGCGGGAGGGAGAGTGAAGGGCGCTGGGGAAGGCGCGGGATTGGCCGGCGGTGACGGTCCCTTGCTTGACGACGCGATGGCGGGAGGGAGAGAAAACGGCGCTGGAGGAGGCGCGGGATTGGGTTCCGGTTGCGGCTCCTTGCTGGACGATGGGTCAGCGTCGGTATTAACAACATCAGCGGTAACAAGAGGCTCTGGTGTGACTGGAACTAAGCAAGGTCGAAAGAAGTCTAGGCCGCTAACCCTACGATCGGGAGGCTTCTCCGGGACGGTCTCAGGCGAGTCCTCCGCGGGAGGTAAGGAAGCCATGGCGTTAGGAAAAGCTGGAACAGAACTAATGCGTGTGGAAACAAGATGTGAATGTGGGAGACCCCCTTCATCTCCAAAGGACCGGCTGGAGCAGACGGAACGAAAGCCGCGCCGCCATGGAAAGGGCTCACGAAGCCTGGTGGTGGGGTTTGAAGATTGAATCGGGCGTTGGATTCTAGGCCACATTCATCTCAACCATGCCACCACACATTGCTGTTGTGCCATGCCACCAATCGCGTTCCACCCATCACATTACGTGAGGGTGGCGCGGTGCGCGTGGCTGCAGAGTCATCATCGAACTTGGCATGCTGGCCGCACCACGCCGCACCTGGATGCCTTGCTGTGCACAGCGCACCAACATATTTTGTCAGCATTACGTGGTTTACTGCCCACGCGAACAAGAAGACAACCACGGGGGGTGGGGAAATGATTACGCGTGGGGGGGGGTGGGGGGGGGGGTAATTATCGGCAAATTCGAGGAAGCTTCCTCTCGATAGACCGGCATACAGGGACCACAGACTGTATACTCTGTAGTGCCAGACTCCAGCAACGACTAAGTCTGATGCCGATTACTCTATATCAGGGGCCTAAAAACAATAACACTGAGGCTCTTAGGGATGAAATATTGATTTCACTGGAAGTAAAATGTTCACAAGCCCAATAGCTTGATTGGTCAGACTAATCAGACTATTTAGTCTGATAGCGTCAGCCCTGATTCAGGGGTATGTGGTACCAAAATTTACAGTCCTAGATACTAGCACGCACCACCTTGCTTTCCACCCATTCTCTCCTTCCACTACCACAAGGCATCCCTCCAGTGCCTCTGCTTTTGCCTCTTCGCCACTCTCCCCACCTGATGCGTGCTTGTGGCAACATCAGAGCCCTCACAGCTCATAGAGATATTGTCCCTGATGTTGGGCTGAGAAAAGCCCTTAGGATCTTTCAAGGCTAAAAGCTCCTGGTAGGAATGTTGTAATTGCAGAAGCGTTTAATAACAAGTATTGAACCACCTTGCGCTGGTATGTGAGGGCAAGATAGATTGATTATAAAAAGATAGTACAAGCTTTTATAAGATTACAAGGAGTATGAAAAAGGATGCAATAACTGTTTTACTGTTTGCTGTTGCGGTTCGATACAGTGACGACTCGGGCAAGTGCTCAGTATCGAGTCAGTTGTTTGTCCTTGCTGTCGCGCTGTATTTGTCGAGTCAAAGGTCGCTTGACCTTTGACCTTCGCGTAACCTCCGGCTGTTACTTTTCTGTCAACCTCCTCGGTTGACTCGCTGTTGCTGCGCTGTAGTTCGCCTCGTTTACAGTCTGATGTTATGACACATAAGAAGCGTTAATTACTTGTTTCCAACACTCCCCTTCGCTTCTGGAGTGTCGCTGCTGGTGACGTGGCTTTGTCCAGTCAGCAGCATGCAGTATTCGAACTTCTGCTTTCCGAGTTTCTTGGTCAAATAATCGGCTGCCATCTCGGACGTGGGGCAGTAAGATAGCTCGAGTCTCCCCTTCTCGATCTCGTCTTTTACGAAGAAATATCGCAGGGCGATATGCTTCGTTCGGTTCGCGAACCCGTTCTTGTTCGCTATGCGAATTGCAGACTGGTTGTCGCAGAACAGGGAGAAGCTGGGTAACTGAGCCAGCTTCGCTTCTTCCAGTAGTTCGCGAAGGTACAGTCCTTCCTTGGTGGCTGAGCAGAGTGCAATATATTCTGCTTCAGCTGAGGAGAGGGCGATTAGTTCCTGTTTGCTCGACTGCCACGAGATAGGCCCGATAGGTTCGAGTCGGTAGATGTAGCCGGTACGTGAGCGTCTACTGTCGGAGTCGCCGGCGTCGTCGGCGTCCACGTAGCCGATCAGCTTAGGTGTCGAGGTTCCTGTTTTGTGATAGGTTAGGCCAATCGTTGGGGTGCTGACGAGGTAGTGAAGTGCGCGGTCGAGCTCCGCCATGTGTTCTGCTTCAGGCTTCTTGAAGTAGGTGGCGAGATGGCTCGCTGAGTCCGGTCGGCAGGTGACGGCTGCGAAGAGCAGACATCCTAGCTTTCGCTGGTAATCACGTATGCCGGCAGGCTTGAGCGGTGCGCAGGCTTCCTTGCATTTTCCGTCAGTGTAGCGATACGGCGTAGTGATGGTTGTTGGAGTTAATCCGAAGCGTTTGGCAATAGTGTCGGCGTATTTCGCAGCGCTGAGGTGGATCGCGTTCTCTTCTTCCTGTATGTTGAGCCCGAGATATTGTGTCACGGTGGGTGAGACGGTGAGCGTTAGGTCCCGCTGCAGCTCCCCTTCGAACCAGGTTGTGACGCCGTCGGTTGAGCTGATGTAGAGCAGATCATCCACGTAGACGATGAGCAGGATGTAGTCGGTGTTTTTCGTGAGGCGGTACATCCCTTGATCGTATGGCAGTTGCCGGAATCCGATGCGGATTAGTCGACCGTGTAGGTACTGTTGCCACAGTCTCGGGGCCTATTTGATGCCATACAGGGACTTTAGTAGCTGACAGACTTGTTTAGGGTCTGTATTGGAGCCGTGTGGTTGTTCGACGAAGATCTCAGCATCAACGGGCGCGTAGAGAAAGGCGTTGGCGACGTCGATTTGACGGAGCTTCTTCCGCTTCATGGCGGCTATCGCGAGGAGAATCCGCAGTGAGGTGTGCCGGCTAACCAGTGTGAATGTTTCGGTGAAGTCTCGTCCGTGCTCTTGGTCGAAGCCGCGTACGACCCAGCGTGCCTTAAATTTGTCGATGGTCCCATCTGCCTTTGTTTTCACGCGGAAGACCCACTTCCCGGTGAGTATTGTCTTGTTGCGTGCCACTCTGATGGGTACAATCTTCCAGGTGTTACGTTTTTCCAGCGACTTTAATTCCCTGTCCATGGCTTCGCGCCATTTTTCTTTGTGTTACCCCCCCAGAGCCTGCTGAACTGTGGCAGGCTCCTTAGGTGGCGCTGCTCCGTGGACCGCGGTGACAAGTCCAAGTATCTGCAGACCACTTTGTGAGAGTCGGGGGAGATTTGGGTCCTCGGGATAAACTGCTTCGTCTCCCGCTTCTGGATCAGGTAAGAAGTTGGGTCCTACGCATTCTGAAACGTTGGTGGCGACTGGCTGGGGTGTAACGTAACCGTTGTCGGCGACTTCGTAGTAGACTTCGGCGTTGATGCTTTCGCGAGGGTTGTCGTCGTCCATCGGGATGTCCACTGAGCAGTAGGGGAGAGGTCCGGCTTCTTCCGAGGCTCCGTCCACGTTCTGTTCGTCCTAGTCTGCCTCGTCTACTGCCGAGGCGAAGGCTCGGTTACCGTCGAATCCACCTATGGGGTCTCGTTCTTCTTCCAGGTTGGCAAGGTACGATGGGAGGGTGAGTCGTTCGTAGAAAATCACGTCACGTGCTGCCACTGTTTCCTTCGAGTGGACGTAAAAAATCTTCCATGCGTTGTAATGTTTTTCGATGCCCAGGTGTAGCCCCCACTGTGCGCGTTGGGAGAATCGGCCGGCTCGTGCAGTTGGGGGTCGGTACTGTACCATGCAGCCGAACACTCGTAACATTTTTGTGCTGCCCAGTTTTCCTGTCCACAGCAGATGCGGTGATGCGTTGTTTGGGAGCGACGACGACGAAAGCAAGTTGTGCAGCATCACAGCATGGTCCATTGCTTCGGGCCACTGGTGGTTGGGTAGCCGCATGTTACGTAGCAGCTTGCGCATGGTGTTCTGGAGGGTCCTGTTCATTCTTTCTGCCACGCCTTGCTGTTGGTGGGCGTAGGGAAGGGAGATGAGCCGCTTGATGCCTCGTTCTGCCTGGTACTGCTTGAATCTTTGTGACTGATATTCCCCTCCCCCGTCTGGCTGGAAGCTTTTTAGCTTTGCTCCTCATTCCCGTTCTGCTACTGGAAGCCAGGCGACGAAGGCTTCGAAGGCCATGTCTCGGCTCGGGAGGTTGAAGTGCCAGACGTATCGTGTGGCGGCATCGATGAACGTGATGACGTAGTTATATGCTCCTTGTCCGGGTTCGCGATTGTACAGTATATCGCTGTACACCTTTTCAAGTGGTGCGTATGCTGGAGCGCTCGGGTTGTGGTGAGAGACGAACGGCTGATGCGGTAAGTCGGCTTTAGGGCAGGTAAAGCATGTTCCGCAAACTCGTTGAAGTTCTCTGCCGTCGTGTAGGAGTAATGAATCTTTTTCAAGGACACCTGCTCTTATCGTGTTATTTAACGTGGTGTTACTCGGGTGTCCCATCCTTTTATGCCAGATGTCTTCGCTAGCGCGATGTCCGGGTGAGCGTTTGTACAGGTCGGAGTGGGAGTAAAAACCTGCGGTGAAGTTGGCGCTTCTGTGGGCTTCGCGTAGAGTGGGAGTCAGCTGCTGCGCAGGATTCGGTGGCGTGTCATCGATGGGGGCCGGTGCTGTTGAAGGACCAGCGATTGGTGCCGGTGTTGTCTCTGCTGCTGCCGGTGTTGTCTCTGCTGCTGCCGGTGTTGTCTCTGCTGCTGCCAATGTTGTCTCTGCTGCTGCTGATGTTGTCTCTGCTGCTGCCGATGTTGTCTCTGCTGCTGCCGATTGTTGAATTGTTGCTAACGCTCTCGTTCGTTCCGCCTTAGGTATCGTATTTGAGTACCAGAAGCCACCGGGGCTGAAGTCGGGGTCGAGATCCGGTGGGTGTGTCCACGAATTGAATTTGACGATTCCGTCGCTGTCGGCAGTGCCTTGATCTGGTACAAAGTCGATGACGAAGACATTTTTCTTCAACTCTGCCTTCCCGATGTACAGTCCGCCTTTTCCGTGGTACAGCTTGAACTCCTGGGTGGTGCTGTCTGCTTCAAGATGGATTCCCTTCGCCATGAGTTGGCTGACGCTCAGTAAGTTGTAGCCGAGTCCTTCTGCGATTAAGAATTTCGACATTTGCAGGATAGCGTTAGTTTCTCGAGACTGAAGTTGAACTATCCCTTGTCGTCGTGTGCGCAGGTTCTGATTGTTGGCGACGGTGATGACGACTTCGCGCTGCAGTTGGTGTTCCCGTTGAACGAAGCGACCCGAGGAGCACATGTGTTGTCTTTCCTGGACGGTTTGCTCTGAGCGATGGCTGCGTACGTCGGGTTCGGCTCCAGTGACTCGCAGCGGGGAGTCCTTTCGTCGAGCAGCTCTTCTGGTGAGTAGTGTGGTGGTGACTCAGTGACGCATGAGTCGGTGATTCTTGTCATGCAGCTCACGATGATTCTTGTGCCTTGTGCAGGTTGCGTTGATGTCGTTGAAGACTGCGCTTGACTGGTGGTGTGCGCCTGTGTAGAGGCCACCTGACTGCTTGAAGGTCGAAGTTGTCGTTGCGGCGGCGTTGACTGCTGCAGGCTTGGACAATGAGTGCGAGGATGTCCTGACGTCTTGCAGAGATGGCAGAACGGAGGTACGTGTCTTTGCGCTTGATGCTTGTTGTGTCAGTTGTTGTTGTTGTTGTAGCGCCGTTGAGTGTGAAACACGAACTCTGGTACTAACGTTTTTCTCTTGCGTCGTTCTTCGTGCAGGTCCATGTCCTGCTGTTTTGCATGAATTTCGGCGCAGAGTGCCGCTTCGGACATCTTCCCATGAGCTCGAAGGATTGCTCGAGTGGAGCGCCAATGAGGGCCGAGGCCAGTGATGACGACTGTGACGAAGGCTTCTTCAGATATCGATCCTCCGCATCGAAGGAGTCTGTCGCGTAGTCCACGACAACGGCTGATATACGCCATTCTTTTCTCGCCGGGTTTCATTTCCACTGTTGTCAGCTGTGCCATTAACCGACTCTGGTTAACGCTGTCTGTTGCTTGATACAGGTTCTTCAAGTGGTTGTACGCGAGCTCGGCGGAGTTGCCGTATCCCCGATAAGACCGGATGTTCTGCTGCTTGTTCGGCGTTATGTTTCGTAGCAGGATCGTGTACGCCATCAGCGACTGATATGTATACTGCTGCTTGTCGTATTGTGTTCCGTGCGTTGGGTATGGCAGGGAACCGTCGAAAAATCCAAGAATTTGCGCGCCTTCCATCATCAGCTCGAATTCGAAGGACCAGGTATAAAAGTCCTTTCCGTCGAAGGGTGTCGATGTCTGCAGTTTTAAGACGTGCGCGAATTGGGACTGTATTTGAATCGCGTCTAGTGTCTTTTCTTGTCCAGGTGCAGGTTGATTCGGCATGAAGCTCGTGGAGCCAGTTGAGGCTCGTACGGCGCAAAAGTAGGCTGTTGCTGGTACATACGATGAACCGTCGAGGCTCATGGGGGTAATCCCGTCGTTGCTGTTGTTGTTGCTTGACAGCGCATGTGCTCCTTGCTGGTGTTGCTCGTAGAAGGCCATGAAGGAGAAGAACTTCTCCATCAGGCTTGTGTCGAAGCCTGACATCTGGTTCGGAGGAGTTCCAGTAGACTCAGCAGTTGGTCTTGTTGCATGCCTCCCTCTGTCTGTAGGCCAGAGGCTGGAGGTGGGGTAGGAGTGGTGCCGGGAGAGCCGTTAGAGGATTTTCTCTCCTTATGTGTAGCCATGTCTTCTGATGTTGTAGTAGTTTAAACGGAGTGGAGTTTTTGCCTTGTCTGTTGTGATACCATGTTGGGCTGAGAAAAGCCCTTAGGATCTTTCAAGGCTAAAGGCTCCCGGTAGGAATGTTGTAATTGCGGAAGCGTTTAATAACAAGTATTGAACCACATTGCGTTGGTATGTGAGGGCAAGATAGATTGATTATAAAAAGATAGTACAAGCTTTTATAAGATTACAAGGAATATGAAAGGATGCAATAACCGTTTTACTGTTGCTGTTGCGGTTCGATACAATGACGACTCGGGCAACTGCTCAATATCGAGTCAGTTGTTTGTCCTTGCTGTCGCGCTGTATTTGTTGAGTCAAAGGTCGCTTGACCTTTGACCTTCGCGTAACCTCCGGCTGTTACTTTTCTGTCAACCTCCTCGGTTGACTCGCTGTTGCTGCGTTGTAGTTCGCCTCATTTACAGTCTGATGTTACGACACATAAGAAGCGTTAATTACTTGTTTCCAACACCTGCATTGACTGTCACAATGGCAGCAATCGTCACTCGCGCATGGTGAGTCTACATCCACTCTTGAATCGTCCATTCTGGTAGCACCCGTGTCAAGAGCAACATCAAGGGGAGCCTCAGCCTCCAGTGGTTGAGTACTTGTGAGGATGTCGACCCTGTCTAGCAGCTTCGTCAGCTTCCTGGCCATGTCCCGCAGTAAGATCCGAACGTCCTGGTTCGGGGACTGCACCTCGTCCAACCGAAGCAGCCAGCCCATGATCGTCTCGCTCACCCGAAGCTTCTCCATAGGGTCGGAAGCCATCTTAGCCACGAAAGCGTTATCCCAAAGCTGCTCGTCCATCTCGCTAACCAGTTTCTGAACGTCAGCTATGGACCAAGCCAGTTCGAGAGGCTTGCTTTGGCGCACCGAATAGCCCCGCCATGCTGCTTGCAACTTCTGAGTAGTATCGTCAGCCGTTAATAGCGATACGGGAGCGACTTTAGCAGCAGGAATGCAGGCGACGCCCGCCATTGGAGACTCTGCCGGCGTGTCGGATCGCGTTCTACTATTGTGTGCTGGGTGCTGGACGGGTATTTGACGGAGATCTGACTGTCCTTGCTTCTGTGGTTGTCGAATCTTCGTTTCATTCACATCTTGCTGCGCGCTTCCGGCGCGCGCTGTCTGCCTTCGCGCGTTAAGCTCGTGCGCTTGCTGCTTCCGCGCAGCCTCATGTTTCCGCGTGTCATTGCGTCGTCTCTGCGCGAAATTCCCCGCTGGCGAATCAAAGCGATCGTCGATTTGGAAGGGATTGCCAAAAAGCGGAGACGGCGAGGAAGCAAAGTTCCAAGGTAGTAAGCCTTGAGCGTTTGAAGATAAAGGTAGTAGGTTGAGTGATGGCTCCTCCACCTGGAGATAATATTTTTTTCGCAGTCGTGATGGTGGTTCTAGAACCGTCTAGCACCGTCAAGAGGCAATGAGAAAGCCTCTGCTAGGGCACGCCCAGCAGGTTCGCGGATCCGCGTGGTTCTTCGCGAAACGGCTTGGCGCTTCGCGAATCCTCGTGGTGGTTCGCGAGCCGCTTGGTGCTTCGCAAAAACGCGTGGGATGGGAAGGGAAACAGAAGAGGAGTTGAGGACGCGATGAAACCCCGTGTTTTGCATACGAAAGGTACACAACCGTTTACAACTGCGCAAAAAAACGAACCTGAGGCGATCGATTCTCCACTTTTACGGGCAGGTCCCCTCCCTCGATCGATCGCGAGATCACTGTGAAAAACCGATCGAGCACACCAATCGCAGGTTTGGGGCAGGTTTGGAAGGAGGTGACAATCGCAGGCTCGATTTAGAGCCCAGGGTTACAGGGTCTAGATTACTAGGGACAAAAAAACACTCGATCCTATATAAGCTAACATCAGTGTGGCCACGAAGGCACATCGTTGTCATCAGCGGAGGTGACAGAATCGTTGGGCACCAGTTACTGTACATTCGCAAGCCATCTTGAAATCCGGTTACCCTGTCAGCTGCGCTGCTACTGCTGAACTGTAGCTGTCCCTCGATCAAGCGAGGGCAGGTTTGATCAAGGAAGGGGACGTGCCCTGACGGCCTGTGCCAGAAATTGCCGTGCTCACGTCGTGACCGAGTATTGCAAACGGCCGTCAGGCAGGAACCGCAGTGAATTGTTGTGCGTCGTGAAGTGGCGGGATTACAGCAGGTTACCTTACCTTGTGATCTGGTTGCGAAAACAGTCGAGGTCGCACAACGCTAAAAAAAGCACAATCAAACAAGCCTTCTGTTACATTCGTCCAGAAAGTAATGTTTTATAGGCGTACACATACACACACAGACCTATATAGAACTTGTTTGCACCCATTTTATGGCAATTTCAGCAAAGGGTTCTGAGAATATATTCAATCAAATTTCAACATTGCACATCAAACAAATCTACAATCTACCCTACATAGCAGATGAACGATCAGCAAATGAGCTCCGAAATAACTTATCGGTTTGACCCAGGTTGACCAGGAAAGCCGCACCTATCGGGCACGAGGCACTGCCAACATGTGGTTTTGTGCACGTGTCCCCATCCATCAACCCCTGCTCCTCACCCAGGTTGACCAATCTGACCCCGGTTGACCAGTCTGACCCCGGTTGACCAGTCTGACCCCGGTTGACCAGTCTGACCCCGGTTGACCAGTCTGACCCCGGTTGACCAGTCTGACCCCGGTTGACCGGACAAAGTCGCATCTACCGGGCCCGGGGTCCTGTCAATGTGTGGTTCTGTGTGCCGGTGTCCCCATACCCATCCATCAACGTCGTCTGCTCCTCACCCAGGTTTGACCAGCTTGACCCCGGTTGACCCGACGAAGAACCCCCCATGGGGTTCCACAGAGTGGTCAGACTAGACGGCGCCCCTGTGAGCCCAGTCTCAGGAGATCTGCCCCCCCCTGGGCTGAACCCAGCTGTTGCTGAAGCTGCCGCTGCACCTGTGGTGTACCCGCCAGTAGCAGCAGCGCCAACGCCACCACCGCCACCACCACCGGCAGTAGCAGTGGTACCAGCATTGGGGTGATAATTCATATGCTGGTTACCAGCAGCTGCATTGTAACCATTGGCGCCGCTAGGGATCGATCCTACAGGGCCCACAGCAGCACCTGCACCTGCTGCTCCTGCTGCAGCGGTGGCATGGCTGGAAAGCGAGCCATCAGCAGCAACGCCTCCCTCAGATAGCACCCGAAGCTGGTCCCTGATGCTGCGCAGCGCAGATACGACCTGCTCCATGTCGGGACGAAGCGAGGGGTGCTCTGCTGTGCACCACAGCGCCACCCGCAGGAACGTGCCGAACGTCTCCTCCAACCCCTCCACCATCTCCCCCGCACTCACCTCCCCTCCAGCTGCAGAACCAGGAGCAGCCGCAGCAGCAGCACCCTCAGCAGAGCTAGTTTTAGCAGCAGCAGCAGCAGCAGCAGCAGCAGCAGCAGCAGCGGGATCAGCCCGGGCGCGCAAGAAGTGGGAGAGTTTGGGGTCGACAGCAGCGGAGAGGCCGTGGGGGCCGAAGGCGAGGTGCAGCACGACCTGGCTGAGCGGCACTCCCTGAATGACAGGCGGCTGCCCCGTGGCCAGCTGCAGCAGCACCACCCCGAAGCTGAACACGTCACTGCGCTCCGTCAGCACCTCTGACACCGCAAAGTGCGGGTCGATGTAGCCCTGCCAGCAAAGAGGGGGATGACACACACACACACACACACACACACACACACACACACACACACACACACACACACACACACACACACACACACACACACACACACACACACACACACACACGCACACACACACACACACACACACACACACACACCACACACGGAATGGGAAGCTGAACACGTCACTGCGCTCCGTCAGCACCTCTGATACAGGAAAGTGTGGGTCCATGTAGCCCTGACAACAGAGAGGGAGGGTGAAAACAAAAAGATTACAGCTTGACAAATACACGGAAACAGAAACGGCAAAAAGAAAACCACAGTTTGACTCACAAAACGTGGAACAGGGCCTGTATATTGAAATGAACACCAGCTTTCCAGCAGTAACAACCACAGCATTTCGTAACCAACTTGCTGCCAAACATCTCACCTTGCTGCCGATGATCTCCTCCTGCACCAGCTCGCCCCGTTCCGGCAGCGACTTGGAAATGCCAAAGTCGGCCACCTTGGCTTCGAGAGACGCTGTCAGCAGAATATTGGCCGGCTGGGAGGGAGAGGAGAGAGAGAGAGAGGAGAGAGAGGTTGAAGGGAAAGGTTTAAAAAAGTAGCGTGGCAATGGGTTGAGAAAACAGTGTGTTTGGCTTCGAGAGATGCTGTCAGAAGGATGTTGGCCGGCTGGGAGGGAACGAAGAGAAAGAGTGGGAGAGAGGTAAATAAGAGAAGTGACCAGATTGGGAACGGTGGGGATAGGATGAAAAATGAGATGGGGGTAGGTGCGTAGCTTAGAGCAAAGGCTACAAACCTTGATGATAGTAGCGAAGCAAGCTAACAAGCTTCGATGCATTGCACGCAAAAAATCTACACATGGATGGTATGGTAGCCATTCTTCCAAGCTAACAAGCTTCGAGGCATTGATATCATGAATGGGTCAGCACACGATCCTCTACGACACCGTCAGCCATGCGGACTGGGACGTCTCAAAAGTTATCATGAATGGGAGCACACGATCCTCTAGACACCGTCAGCCATGCGGACTGGGACGTCTCAAAAGTTATCATGAATGGGAGCACACGATCCTCTAGACACCGTCAGCCATGCGGACTGGGACGTCTCAAAAGTTATCATGAATGGGAGCACACGATCCTCTAGACACCGTCAGCCATGCGGATCGGGACGTCTCAAAAGTTATCATGAATGGGAGCACACGATCCTCTAGACACCGTCAGCCATGCAGACTGGGACGTCTCAAAAGTTATCATGAATGGGAGCACACGACCCTCTAGACACCGTCAGCCATGCGGACTGGGACGTCTCAAAAGTTATCATGAATGGGAGCACACGATCCTATAGACACCGTCAGCCATGCAGACTGGGACGTCTCAAAAGTTATCATGAATGGGAGCACACGATCCTCTAGACACCGTCAGCCATGCGGACTGGGACGTCTCAAAAGTTATCATGAATGGGAGCACACGATCCTATAGACACCGTCAGCCATGCGGACTGGGACGTCTCAAAAGTTATCATGAATGGGAGCACACGATCCTCTAGACACCGTCAGCCATGCGGACTGGGACGTCTCAAAAGTTATCATGAATGGGAGCACACGATCCTCTAGACACCGTCAGCCATGCGGACTGGGACGTCTCAAAAGTTATCATGAATGGGAGCACACGATCCTCTAGACACCGTCAGCCATGCGGACTGGGACGTCTCAAAAGTTATCATGAATGGGAGCAAACGATCCTCTAGACACCGTCAGCCATGCGGACTGGGACGTCTCAAAAGTTATCATGAATGGGAGCACACGATCCTCTAGACACCGTCAGCCATGCGGACTGGGACGTCTCAAAAGTTATCATGAATGGGAGCACACGATCCTCTAGACACCGTCAGCCATGCGGACTGGGACGTCTCAAAAGTTATCATGAATGGGAGCACACGATCCTCTAGACACCGTCAGCCATGCGGACTGGGACGTCTCAAAAGTTATCATGAATGGGAGCACACGACCCTCTAGACACCGTCAGCCATGCGGACTGGGACGTCTCAAAAGTTATCATGAATGGGAGCACACGACCCTCTAGACACCGTCAGCCATGCGGACTGGGACGTCTCAAAAGTTATCATGAATGGGAGCACACGACCCTCTAGACACCGTCAGCCATGCGGACTGGGACGTCTCAAAAGTTATCATGAATGGGAGCACACGACCCTCTAGACACCGTCAGCCATGCGGACTGGGACGTCTCAAAAGTTATCATGAATGGGAGCACACGACCCTCTAGACACCGTCAGCCATGCGGACTGGGACGTCTCAAAAGTTATCATGAATGGGAGCACACGACCCTCTAGACACCGTCAGCCATGCGGACTGGGACGTCTCAAAAGTTATCATGAATGGGAGCACACGACCCTCTAGACACCCTCAGCCATGCGGACTGGGACGTCTCAAAAGTTATCATGAATGGGAGCACACGACCCTCTAGACACCGTCAGCCATGCGGACTGGGACGTCTCAAAAGTTATCATGAATGGGAGCACACGATCCTCTAGACACCGTCAGCCATGCGGACTGGGACGTCTCAAAAGTTATCATGAATGGGAGCACACGATCCTCTAGACACCGTCAGCCATGCGGACTGGGACGTTTCAAAAGTTATCATGAATGGGAGCACACGATCCTCTAGACAGTGTCAGCCATGCGGACTGGGACGTCTCAAAAGTTATCATGAATGGGAGCACACGATCCTCTAGACACCGTCAGCCATGCGGACTGGGACGTCTCAAAAGTTATCATGAATGGGAGCACACGATCCTCTAGACACCGTCAGCCATGCGGACTGGGACGTCTCAAAAGTTATCATGAATGGGAGCACACGATCCTCTAGACACCGTCAGCCATGCGGACTGGGACGTCTCAAAAGTTATCATGAATGGGAGCAAACGATCCTCTAGACACCGTCAGCCATGCGGACTGGGACGTCTCAAAAGTTATCATGAATGGGAGCACACGATCCTCTAGACACCGTCAGCCATGCGGACTGGGACGTCTCAAAAGTTATCATGAATGGGAGCACACGATCCTCTAGACACCGTCAGCCATGCGGACTGGGACGTCTCAAAAGTTATCATGAATGGGAGCACACGATCCTCTAGACACCGTCAGCCATGCGGACTGGGACGTCTCAAAAGTTATCATGAATGGGAGCACACGACCCTCTAGACACCGTCAGCCATGCGGACTGGGACGTCTCAAAAGTTATCATGAATGGGAGCACACGACCCTCTAGACACCGTCAGCCATGCGGACTGGGACGTCTCAAAAGTTATCATGAATGGGAGCACACGACCCTCTAGACACCGTCAGCCATGCGGACTGGGACGTCTCAAAAGTTATCATGAATGGGAGCACACGACCCTCTAGACACCGTCAGCCATGCGGACTGGGACGTCTCAAAAGTTATCATGAATGGGAGCACACGACCCTCTAGACACCGTCAGCCATGCGGACTGGGACGTCTCAAAAGTTATCATGAATGGGAGCACACGACCCTCTAGACACCGTCAGCCATGCGGACTGGGACGTCTCAAAAGTTATCATGAATGGGAGCACACGACCCTCTAGACACCCTCAGCCATGCGGACTGGGACGTCTCAAAAGTTATCATGAATGGGAGCACACGACCCTCTAGACACCGTCAGCCATGCGGACTGGGACGTCTCAAAAGTTATCATGAATGGGAGCACACGATCCTCTAGACACCGTCAGCCATGCGGACTGGGACGTCTCAAAAGTTATCATGAATGGGAGCACACGATCCTCTAGACACCGTCAGCCATGCGGACTGGGACGTTTCAAAAGTTATCATGAATGGGAGCACACGATCCTCTAGACAGTGTCAGCCATGCGGACTGGGACGTCTCAAAAGTTATCATGAATGGGAGCACACGACCCTCTAGACACCGTCAGCCATGCGGACTGGGACGTCTCAAAAGTTATCATGAATGGGAGCACACGATCCTCTAGACACCGTCAGCCATGCGGACTGGGACGTCTCAAAAGTTATCATGAATGGGAGCACACGACCCTCTAGACACCCTCAGCCATGAGGACTGGGACGTCTCAAAAGTTATCATGAATGGGAGCACACGACCCTCTAGACACCGTCAGCCATGCGGACTGGGACGTCTCAAAAGTTATCATGAATGGGAGCACACGATCCTCTAGACACCGTCAGCCATGCGGACTGGGACGTCTCAAAAGTTATCATGAATGGGAGCACACGATCCTCTAGACACCGTCAGCCATGCGGACTGGGACGTTTCAAAAGTTATCATGAATGGGAGCACACGATCCTCTAGACAGTGTCAGCCATGCGGACTGGGACGTCTCAAAAGTTATCATGAATGGGAGCACACGATCCTCTAGACACCGTCAGCCATGCGGACTGGGACGTCTCAAAAGTTATCATGAATGGGAGCACACGATCCTCTAGACACCGTCAGCCATGCGGACTGGGACGTCTCAAAAGTTATCATGAATGGGAGCACACGATCCTCTAGACACCGTCAGCCATGCGGACTGGGACGTCTCAAAAGTTATCATGAATGGGAGCACACGACCCTCTAGACACCGTCAGCCATGCGGACTGGGACGTCTCAAAAGTTATCATGAATGGGAGCACACGACCCTCTAGACACCGTCAGCCATGCGGACTGGGACGTCTCAAAAGTTATCATGAATGGGAGCACACGACCCTCTAGACACCGTCAGCCATGCGGACTGGGATGTCTCAAAAGTTATCATGAATGGGAGCACACGACCCTCTAGACACCGTCAGCCATGCGGACTGGGACGTCTCAAAAGTTATCATGAATGGGAGCACACGATCCTCTAGACACCGTCAGCCATGCGGACTGGGACGTCTCAAAAGTTATCATGAATGGGAGCACACGACCCTCTAGACACCGTCAGCCATGCGGACTGGGACGTCTCAAAAGTTATCATGAATGGGAGCACACGACCCTCTAGACACCGTCAGCCATGCGGACTGGGACGTCTCAAAAGTTATCATGAATGGGAGCACACGACCCTCTAGACACCGTCAGCCATGCGGACTGGGACGTCTCAAAAGTTATCATGAATGGGAGCACACGACCCTCTAGACACCGTCAGCCATGCGGACTGGGACGTCTCAAAAGTTATCATGAATGGGAGCACACGACCCTCTAGACACCCTCAGCCATGCGGACTGGGACGTCTCAAAAGTTATCATGAATGGGAGCACACGACCCTCTAGACACCGTCAGCCATGCGGACTGGGACGTCTCAAAAGTTATCATGAATGGGAGCACACGATCCTCTAGACACCGTCAGCCATGCGGACTGGGACGTCTCAAAAGTTATCATGAATGGGAGCACACGATCCTCTAGACACCGTCAGCCATGCGGACTGGGACGTCTCAAAAGTTATCATGAATGGGAGCACACGACCCTCTAGACACCGTCAGCCATGCGGACTGGGACGTCTCAAAAGTTAT